GCTACAGGAAATATTATTTTGCTGAGGATAATTTTGTGAAGTGTTTTACAGTTGTAAGTGGCACTTGTCCAAGGGGTTGTGAAAATGCCCAGAGCTGCTGTACCTGTAGCAGACCTGCAACCTGATAGCGTTGTAGCAGAGGTGTGAAACAGTAGCTGCAGTCCCCGATGTCTTTTTCTTATGTAGCAGCAGCTTGGCACCGCGCAACGTCTGCCAAGGTACGACAAACAGAAGTCTGATGTTTCACGAGAGCAAAGCCCGGTTCGGCACACGTTGATTTCAAATAATGAAATAAATGTTTTTCGGTCACAGCTTTCTACGATACAGGCAATGGCGTTACAATGTGAATGTCTGGACTGTGAAATGAGTGTTTTTGTAAATGTGATGTGTAACAATGAGATGCAAACTTTAAAAAAAAAACACTGTGTGCTGACCGTCTATACAGATTTATTAGTTTTGTTGAGCTCGCGAAGCCAGTGGACGAAACATACTAAAGTATAGTTAACACAGTAAAAGTGTAATATACTGAATATAAACTTTTAGTAGGGATCAAAAATCTAAATTCTTTATTTTATTGTGCCTCGTTTGTCAGAGGTGAAGAATAACCATGTTTGGTCTATGTGTATTATAATCCTACTGTAAAGGCTTGCAGCGAATTACTGCCTGGGTCACACTACTAAGAAAAGTGGTCTCTACCACACGAGGCTAATACTGTACCCTGACTTTTGTACAGTATTCCCAGTTTTCCCTGCTGGGATGTCTGTGTCGTTGCCCCGTGATGCTGTAATTCCTGGATCTCTGCTGCTGGTGTGGAAGTGGAGATGGTGTGCTGTCACTGTGTGTGTACCATGTGTGTCTGTGTGCTTCTGTTCACTGTGTTGCCCTGTGTGCTTTTCCCCAGCTGCTGGATACCGACCTTACCCCCTGCCTCCCTGCTTGAGTTCTGTGTGCGGAAGGATTGCCCATTGCCACCCACGTCCGAGATGCATATGAATAGCTTATTGAATCACTGGAGTAAGTAATACACCCTCCCTGTCAACTCTGTCCTGTTCCCTCCCTCAGCCAATGAGTTCCCTGTGCGTGGCTGTCTCCCTCTGTCCCTGGGTCTCACATCATAACTGTATAACTAGGTTTTGAACCATAACCTGTCCATTTTGTTTTCAGCGTTGAGCTGTTATCTTATTTTAATGTTATTTTTGCTGGAATGAAGTCGTATGCATGATACCTGACCTTGGAGCTATGGCTGCAGTCATGCAAACATTACTCTGAAGCATTTGGGACTGTCTGTTTTTTTGCAGTTATGTACAGTGATATTTTGCGTTCATCACCATAAGATTTCTGTAAAGAGAAAGCAGGTGTGCAGAGAGAATCTGCACGACTTGCATCTTTGTCTTTTGTGTCATTAAGTCTTAATTTAAAGCATTGTTAATGTCAAATTGTATATTTTATGCTGATGCTGCACAAATATGAAGCTGGACAAGTGCTGGTTACCGCTTTGCTGGGAAGTTGAGCCACTTCAGAATTCAAAGCAACTGAAAAAGTAAATCGTAAAGAATGGTAGTAGATAGGATGGACCAATAGCTTTTTGCTATATTTCTTTGTGTTGAGAAATTTGTGGTCCTGATAGGGTTTTGCAGAAAAACAATAAAATAACTTTTGAGCTGTCGTTCCTCATGGTTCCCAGAAGGAAACGGGATTGCTGGTTATTTTGCCGGAGGCTCCGGCGGTTATTCCCCGTGGTGCCCGTGCCGTGCTGTGTTTCTCATGGATCCTCTGTCTCCCGCTCCTGTCGGACAGGAGAGAGCCCAGGAGTCGAGCAGCGATCAGTTATTTATACCACACAAGCGAGGGGATCGTGCTGCTGAACGGCACCACTGGGCTTTTAATAGTTCGTCACGAAACTGTATCTTAGGCTCCACGGTCTGATCCTGTAGGAGAGCGGAAGACCCGCATGCCGTGGGAATTTGAGACTGGGACTTGCAGGGAAAGTTTGTCATCTCAGCCTCCATCGGTACATTTTCTCCTGCATGTTGGTTTTACACATAAAACTCCCAATGGATCTATGTAGTGTCCTACTAAGCAGTGTGCTCTGCCTGCAGACTGCTGGTCTTTATACTCATTGGCAGAAATGTACAGTCTTGACTGCTGCCTTCATCTCCCTCTTGCCCCAGCAAAAGCAGGATCTGACCAGGTTGTGCATTTTGACGTTCTTACCTTGACCTCCAGAGTTCTGTCGCACCTTGGTCTCCCTCATAGAGCCATTCCCATGCCGAGGAAAGCACTCTGGGAAAAAATGCTTAGGGTGACAAGAGTTGATGCATTTCTTAATGGTTCCAATGTACTGTGCATTGCATTATTAACAGTGCTGAGGCATCACATCCTTTAGACTTTTTTTTTATGCTTTTGCTCAAACATCAAATACTTTATCAGTTGACAATTTCTTCAAAAGAAGACTGTTCACAACAGCATATTATGTTTGCTTGCTTTGGTCCATTGTTATTACTGTAAACACATAATTCTTTATTAATTGCTAAAGCAACTGTTTTTCCCAATACAAGTACAGTATCTTAGTGTGTAGTTGTAGACTCTCTGTTGTTTTTGCTGCTTTGGTGGACAAACAAGAGACTGTTGATGAGGCGTGCTCTTTAACCTAAGTGCTGAAGCAGTGGAGTGAAAGTCCTTAATTAATGCAGTCCACAGCTCATCTGCTTATTGACATAATCAGGAGATTTATCCCTCCGGAATTAAGCTGCTTTCCCATGAGTGTGCAGTGGGAAATATTACAGTCTGATTGGTACATTGGGACTGGTGAGGCTGTTCAGACATGCCTGAGAAGTACTAGCAATGCGCTGGCGCTGTAGACCGTGTTGTAACAGTAATGGTAGACTGTAGTTGCTGTCCCCATATCTTTTTACTTACACAGCTCTCCACTTGCTTCTTGTGTCAGTGAGGTATAAAATGATTCCCATCCTTTTACTGTAGCATCCATGTTCTAGTCTTGTTCCTTGCCCGTCTGAAACTAGCCCGGCTCTCCGAGCAGATTTCTCTTACTGAAAAGCCACAGTGTTGTCTTAAGCTTTTGAAACGCAAATGAGTTGATTACCTTCTCCAAGGTAACCAAGTAGGCAAACTAAGAACACATTTTCATTTGAGGTGATAACCTTGAGACCCATGAATCCAGCAGAGGTTTTTACTGCAGCTGTCTTTTGTGAAGTGACTCGCTCAAGGGTCAAATGGTGCTGTGCCTCCCAGGATTTGAACCCACAACCTTCTACTGTAGAGGCCGTAGGCCTGACTGTTGCCTTGGTTCCTGTAACACTGATCAAATAAAAGGTACAAGGCTCAACTCAATGGCACACTTGACCATTGCAGGTTACCACACACACATTTGCACAGCTGGGTGGACAAGAGTAATGAGAGAAAATGCTAGCTGACCCTTGTTACTTGTCTATGAGAGGGTGACAGCAGGACAGTTCTCATGACTGGCCATGCAGGGCGTAGCACGAGCACGTGGGGTGATCGGCGTGAGCTTGACTCGACCGCATAACACTGCTTTGGCAACAAAATATGCCCTCCCATTCCTCTCTTCCCAAGCTAATACTGGATTTTGGGCTGATTCATTTCCATTTGCGTCGGGCTCTTATATAAACTTTGCAGGAAGCAATTAGCCAGGCAGCGTGACTTCCACAGCTTTCTCTGTATGTATTTCTCTTTTGGCATCTGTCTAAATTATGATTGTGTGCGTGGTGTCTAATGGCTGTGATGACAGGCATCTGTTGCCTATTGGAGTACCACCCTGAATCAGAAGCTCTTGAAAATTCATACCTCGTACTCTCGCCACGTATCACTCAGGGTTCAGGTCTGCAAAGGAAGAATGATCAAGTGGTCATCCTGTACTGAAGGACAGTGTGTGCTCTGAGCCAAGTCCCCAGTGGACCCCTCCCTGAGTTTGGCTGCCGTGTTGTTTTATAAAGTCGTTGTATTAGTGGAAACCTTTACCGCAGGGCTGCTCCCTGATGAGTCGAGCACTTTTCTGTGCCAGCTCCCATTATGCACTGCACTACAGGAGAATCTGCATCTGTCAACAGCCTTTTTGGTTAATTAAGCGTAAAAGAGGCAAAACTATTTATTTTGCTAAGAAAAAACGTGAATGTCCATAGAAATATATTTCCCCACAACCTGATGAGATCTGTCAATAGATATAAGATGATCTTTAATGAATGCTGACATGAGGTTTAGCTGATCTGAACCCTGAGTGCAGACGTGTATTGCGATCTGTGGGGGCAACCTTTTTGAGTAAATGGGAGCATGCCCACGGTGCACATGATTTTTGTACTCTCGAAAGAAATCCAGTCATTTCAATTAAACCAATTCCTGTCTTTTCTCCTCCCCCTGCCTGGCACAGTTTCCAAATTCTAAACCACGTCCCTGCAATGCTGAACAGAGAAAGCACAGTGGACAGACGAAGATATTCCCCGTAAGCTAGAGTGTGGATTTGCAAACCAACTACAAATCCATTTTCTCGCAGTCTCACAGCCAGTTGTTTAAATAAGTGGAGAGAAAAAGAGGAAAGTTCTGGACCTCTGATAATGTCTGACGTAAAGCAAAGGTAGTTATCAGTGTGTGAAAAACACCTGCCTGGTGTGCTGTAAGGGTTTGGCATCAGCGTACCAGCCACGTGACTGTAATGGCTGTAATCTGGTCAGGAGCACATAAAACAAATTATTCAGGACATTTCAGAGATTTTTACTCCAAGGCTTACTAAAACACGGTAATTCTGACCAAGTAAAAATATCCCCTTGGCTAAGCAATATACTGCTTCACAGCCAAGTGATTTTCTCGGTTTTACAGAACTCGTTATTGTGCCCCAGTCCAACAACTATACGGTAGATTTAATTTTATCAGGAAACTGGGGACAACGCGCTGTCCGATGTTGTCCTTCAGATGAGACGTTAAACTGAGGTTCTGACATACCCGGTTATGATAGATCTTCTGGCACAGTTTGTAAGAGCAGAGTGGTAGCTCTGGTGTGCTGGGTAAATTCCATGATGTGACTGTATGATCTGGTCTCCCCACACTCCTGTTAATTCACCCCATTACTTCACCCAATCGGCTGTGCACATCAGGGGTGAGTGAAGTAGGTCCCCTCCTGTATGTGAAACACAGTGGGAATCTTTGGGATGGAATTGCAGAATTGCAGTTAACTACTTAAAAATGTAGATTTTGCTGATTTCAGGGTTTGAACCAGCAAGCCCTTTCCCTTTTTGTTACAGCACTACAAGTTACAGTTCCTTGGTCATCTCCAAGGAAGGAGCAGACTGATATGGAAACAGAAAGCCTAAATTAAATGAGAACTGTTCCTCCGCTCATATTCCATTCTGCCCCAGCTACAGTTAGCACACGACGTCCTTCAGTAGCCTGCTCCACCGTTTTTATATATTCTCTTGGCAGTATTTTTTCCCGCACACTGGTTGGCATGTTTCTTTTATTCCCAGCATGCCTTTCCAATCTTTACAACCCCAACCTGACCACCAGGAGAAGCAATCAGTTGCCGTCTCCCACCTTGTTGTTTTGACATGTTGGCTTGTCCTGTAATTCTGGAGTATTTGTCCCTTTTGCATCGAAGGCATTTACGAAAAACAGGTATCTCCAGATCCACCTCCTGGCACCACGCGAATGCCCAGGGCTTTCGTCAGTTCTCACAGGAGACCTGGCACACCTGTGTCCGTGCTGCAGGTGCCAGAGCCATGCGCGTCACCCCATTGGTTTATCAGAGCAGTGCTTTGCTGAGCACGAAAGTTCTCAAGAACTTTGCCGGATCTGGAGTTTAGTACTCCACCTCCCACAAAGTCAGCGTCTTGCTAATTTTACAACGCTGACTTTGCTACTTTTGAAAAAAGCAAGCAAAGAGCACCTGATGCAGCAGGAAGCCCAGGCTGGCATCAGTGGGGCAGCCACACACGTTTAACTGCAAGATATAGATATTGAGTGTCTGCCTCATCCTGTGATCCAATATTGGAAATGGTGAGGAGAAGACAAGGTTTTTATTTTAAAGCTGAAAGAAATATATGTCTAAGTATTTAAAAATCTTGCTAAATTTGAAGACCAATCAATAATGATGCAATAAGTCTCCAAGCTTATGGCACTGAGGTTATATCATTTTTAGCAATTGACTATAAATAATATTGCATTGCCTCACATGCCATTCACACAGTAATCGGAGAGCCCTTTCATGTACATTTGCATTGCAAATCCAGGGGTTTTCTAATGAAGCCAGCATTCACTTTATCAAGGGAACTGTGAAAGCTGAGGCTTTGAGGCATTCTGATCTGTTCCCATCATCCCATAGCCGTGTTAATGAGCAACAGGAAGCTTTCATATGCAAAGAAAAAAGACAAATTAAATCAGTTTATACTTATGTCTAATGCAAATTTAACAGAAACTCTCTTGGTGAAATCCAGATTATGAATAATTCTCCTTATCATTCTGTCTCCCATGTCCATGGGTTGCAATCTGATGCACCAGTCAGGACATGCTCAGAGCACCAGTAGCTACATGGAAATCCTGCATCTGATTCAGCCCCTTGAGTCCTCCTCCACCCCCATCCCCTCCTCAGGAGAGGGCTCGTTCAGATTCCTTAGATAAATCATTAAAGTCTTCTTCCACAAACTACCTCCCCTGCACGTGAATGGCTGCATCAGCCCCAGTGGACTATCCATAGTGCCTTACAGGATTCTGCAAAATTTTTATTTTCCCCACCACTCATTATGATTGATTATAGTGCAGCAACTTTTGTTCCAGCAACACCACATGGAAGATGGCACACTTCTATTCCAGAGTGAAAACTCAGAGCTGTGCCGCTCTTGAGTTAGAGCGGCATTTCAGATTAATCTTATTCTAGGGCTTCTGAAACTAAATCTTCTCCCAGAGCAAAGCATTTTAGACAGGGTTGATCTCGGGACCACAGGAATACTTTTAAATCTTAAACTCTAAGACACTAAGTATGACTTCTAGCTCTAGGAAGTCAGGGATGAATTAGCAGTTATCTACTGAAGATAAAATCCTGGCAGGATTACCTTTATGGACTATGACATTATGCTTAGATGTAATTGAGCTCTTTGCATCCCCAATTCAGCCAATCTAACCCATTTAGTAGTTAGCTAACTGATCCTGAGTCTCTCATCTTATTCATATACTACATCTCAAGTAATATCAATTCCAGTTATTTTATGTGAACTCATAGAAGTGAAGGGCCAACATGTAGGATTGATTCAGCGGACTGTCGAGAGACGGGAGTGAGGCAGTGTGGGACAGTGGCCTTCAGCAGCCCAGAGTGTTTACCGCGTGCAGACAATGGGCTGCTTCAACAGCGCAGCACCCTGCTTTCTCACAGCTCCGTCAAAAATGCAGACGTAGGCCCGTGCCGCGTCACGAGACTCTTGGAATAGAAAGAGATCCATTGTACTAACGAATGATGTTTTATTCATGTACACAGTTTAAATTGGAGTGCATGTAAGATCCCTGTAGGACTTGGTTTATAGACTGTGATATTTTGCTTCATGATGTGCAGGGTACTGCGTTATGTAGAAACGTTTTTTATCAAAGCCATGTCTCTAACTGCTCTGAACGAATCAATAGACGCCACGCTCTCTGAGAACTGTTGAAGTCAGTGGGAGTTTGGAACGTTTTTCGCACTCAGGACACAATTTAGGAGACAAGTCTTGTTAGCAGTGTGGTTTTTCTCAACCTATATTATTCTATAATATTCCTTTCTAATAAAAGCTCAGTTGTCCACACTGGTTCTTATCAAGGTGTGTAGAATTAAACCTCTACATGAATCAGACCTGTTTCTTTCAGTCCTTTTAAAAATGAGTAATTTGTGTTAGATGATTTATTTAAGTTTAATGAGAGTAAATGCATATGCAAATAATTGAAATTGAAAGAGTTATCTTGGGAAGAGGTACAGGGGGCTGCATAAATGAACAGCTGGATGTAGATTGGAGGGCCAGAGCGTGTGCCGATGATGTTGGAGAGAGGGAAGAGAGTGTCTAGGAGTCCCTGATTCTCAAGTCTAACACTTGTGCTTCTTGGCAGGCACTAGGAGATGAAGCCCGTGGTCTCATTTGTGTTACCTTGGGTTTTTAGTGTTGCAGGTCAGCTTTGTTAGCAGAAAGAATTGCATCCGTCTGCTTATTGTTGGTAATCCAGTAGATAGCAACCAAGAATGGGTTGGGAATCGAAAATGGATTTAAGTGAAAGCAAGGAATGAAAATGTCGATAGGCTAATAACTGAACAGGAAGGGGGTCAGCAACAAAGCCGTAGGAAGAGTTCAGGATGCCAACAGGAATGACGGCAGTATGTGGTCTTAGCTTATTGTCACATTTCTAACGCAGCTGTCAGGATGCTGTGCTCTTAGTCACTTCTAAGCAAGCAGTGTAGTTTGAGTTACACTGAGGGCAGTATCCTCAATACCACACAGACCCAATACACTCATTCAGTCTGTTTGTGTACCTTGGAGTGGCTGATGAGAAGAGGACCGTCTCCTTAAATTCTAGCATTTAAGTACAAAAGTCTGCAACCTCCCCGTGGGCCGAGGTGGAGTGACGTCACAGGTGCAGTCTCAGCGGGACTCGGGCCAGGGTCAGTTTGCCAGGTCAAGGTTCAGATCGCTGCAGGGTGCTGGGAGGTAAACACGTCACCCAGAGACTTGGATTCCCGGCACACTGCTGGTGGCTTCCCGGACTGAAACGGGCCCCACAGGAACTATGCTCAGTGCACAGTGAGGGTTTCTGAGCAAGCTGGAAACAAAAAAAAAAATGTGGCATTAAACCAAGTTGCTATTCTACCGAGTTACTGAACTTCATGATAATGAATTAGCATAACAAGATGTTCATTATTTACTTAAAACATTTTTTTACTTTTTTACATGGACACATGAACACAATTCAGCACTTTCCAAACTGAATGTTAACTAAATACATTTATTTTTTTTATTAATAGAGGCATATAGGATTTAATTTGTTAGTCTGAGATACGAATCACTATCTCCCAGTGCTCTTGTCTAATGGGCTGTTTGACAGAGTCCTGGCTGGTAGCCTACAAGACAAATCACTTTCTTACTTGCATTTCCAAAGCGCCTTGACCCAAGACGTCCTGTGAACAAAGAGTTGTTTCAGAGGACAGGCAACACCCAGAGCACAGAGGATCCCAGTCAGTCGTTTGGCGGGTGAACATCTAAAACAGTGATACATTCCTGACATGTGACCGTTTTCTGTAGAGTTACAGAGTACCAGTGAGATTTTCATGTACAAAAACATGTTGCCAATTCCTTTCATTTACAGGAATGGCAATATATAAAATAGATGTTCCTAATGCATCAGCCACTCACTGGCTTTGCTTTTGTGCAGCGACAGGAAAGCAGCTACGCTGTCAACAGGAGACAAAAGAATGTGCGTCTGAGGGACACGGCTCACAGATTCTCTCTAGAAGGGCCTCATTACAACTCTGCATAATCACATGGATTCGCTCCCAGCAACTGAAAGGCTAGATGGCCCGGATAGCCCCTTTTTTATAACCTTTCTTCTGTTTCTTCATTTCTTTTTGGTGCAGTTGTTGTGCCTGCTAAGGCAGTAATTAAAGCAGCTTTGTTCGTGTCAAATAAAACATGACCAATTGATCTTCTTTTTTTTTTTTTAAGGATTTGAGTACGTGGGGCTTTGCTGTTCTTTAAGGTGTCCTGTGCTCTAGCCGAGTGTATATGTGAATAGAGAGAGACGGAGAACCCAGTGCTCTGGGTTGAGAAAAGGAAACTGATACAGAACGCGAGCTCTCGAGACAGCACCTCGCACTGAGAGGAAGTCAAGGTTGCCATGCTGGGCTGCAAGTGTGTCTGTCGCACCTGTTCCTGTGATGCCACTCCCCCAACGCTTTGCTCAGGAAGTGGCAACTGCTTTGTTTTCTGAGAAATGATGAGCACTGACTTTAAACATCCTGAGTTGGGCCTGTCTTTGGCAGTCAGGTATATACGGCAGCGTTCGCCTGTTTCCCTGGGGCTCTCGATGAATGGTGCACTACCCAGAGATCTAAGGTTTCATATGGAACCTTCAGTGCCTGTGCCTCGCCCTGCTTTCCAAAGACAAAAGATTCTGTCTCCGCGTACATCTTCTATTTAAGTGAGTGCAGCAAGTGGTTTCATAACAGGCTTATGTAATTTTGTACTGTGTGTCACTGAGATTTGTCTCATGATGAAAACGTTCATGGCGGCATGTCTGCGCCCGTTTCCTGTGCCTCTGTGTTGTCTTCTTGCTCCCGTTGTCTTCCTGAGAGAGACGAGGGCGAGGAAAAAAGCAGATATTGTCGTTTTAATGAGAATCTGTTTTGTGTGTGACAACAGAATAGAAATTTAATAAACAGCTCTGTTGAAACACTTATTAGTCACTTCTTTTTCCATGCTCTATTTATAGAAAACCTTTTTGATTTTTTTACCCTTTCATTACCATGAAACACTCCCAGCCGCGCTTTGCAAATCAGCACATTTTACTTTCAAATGCAGTTGGTTTTGTTTCTTCCCCTAGCATGAATATTTCTGAAAGGAAACTCTTAACGATATTTAAAACGGGCTCTTTTTCCTCTCTTAAGTGTGATCCCTTTCGCCTGTCTTCCTGTGCTTCCAAGGCTGGTATTTGAAAATGTGCTAATTATCGTTAAAATCCCAGTTTTGCACACAGCAGGTAACCTGCTTCGGTGTGGTATCTTTCCTGCTGCCGTTTTGAGATTTTCATTCCGGAGTCTTGTCTTTATTTGATTTTTTTAAGCTCGGGTATTGCAGGACATCATCAGCCAGGTAATCAAATATTATAAACTGTATAAATGTGCATTTGCAAGTGATTTAGCAAAGGACTGTGAGCGACTAGTGTTAAGACCGTGAGCATGACAGAAAGTCAAAACATCAGCAAGTCTGCTCCATTAAAATGGACTTTCCCTTGGACAGGAAAGATGTCTCAGATTTAGATACTCAGGTTTTGGACAAAGACCTCGCTCCATGAGTGACCAGTGTCTGACTCTGCTCCTCCTCTTCTTGACCACAGCTGAGATCTCCAGGATGTGCGAGGCAGAGGTCATCTCCTCAGAGCCCACTAGCCCCACCCAGCTGTGCGGCGAGTCCTCGGACTCCTATTACCACGTGGACCGCTGGCAGAAGCTGCGCACAGCCGTCAGGAAACTGGAGTTCTGGGAGAACTTCGCCGCTGAGCTCATAGGGAGTGGCTTCTTCTCCAAAGTCTACAAGGTACGGTCTTGCTGTATGGCAAAGTATATTATAGCACAGGTTAAAGCTGTGTGAAAGCAAGGTCAGCTTGTGGTAAAGGCTTGGAAAATAATTACCATGCTAGCTGGTATAAGACTTGAATGGTTTGTGGTAACGTTCCAGAGGTCTGCTTTCCATCATAGGCAGCAGTGTGGTGCAGTGGGCAGGGCTCAGGACTGTTACTGGAAGGTTGTGGGTTCAAAACCCTTGAGCAAGGCTCTTTACTCCGATTGCTCCAGTAACATGCCCAACTGTACAAATGGATAAAAGTGCTAGCTAAATAAATAATCAATTTAAAATAAATAAATATTGATACTATTATTGAAATTAAATATTGAACTAGATCTGATATTCTATTTGCTGATGCCCGAGCTGATGGCTGCCGTTTCTGAACAGCTGGAGAAACAGTTTAATAATAAAACTCATTTGATATAGTGCCTTTAAAAGCATGGCTGCTTTTCTTAACCTGTTTGAGTCTAGAATTTCTCTTGAATCTGCTGGCGTTCTAGAATTGCGTTGATGCAGGAATGGGCGAGTGGCTCTACAGCTGCTGCAGAGGTCTGGCTTTCAGACTATATCCCTTGTGGTCCACACTGTTTCCCTGTTGTCAGCCATTGAAAAACCGACGTCTGCACAAACTTTGGCTGGTCACTGTTAATCCAGGGGTTGTAAAACTGCACATTAAAGAATTAACAGTAAATCAGTAATGATATTGTGGTATTTGTTGCAGTGTAAGCTTGTAAATCATATGCATGAGTGTTTTTTTTATTGTTAATGGATTCTTGTTGTTTTAAATGTATATTGTATTGTTTGTTTGTTTTTTACTTGCCTGCAAAGCAAATTTCCCATCTGGGACAATAATGTCAGTAAATTAGGATCAGGTACAGGCGTTAGGCTGCAGGCTGCTGCTGTGTGCACTGAAAGAGTGGAGGGTGACAAGTCCCAGAGGTGCTTCTCCAGCTTTTGCTCTGCAGACTCAACAGGCAGTGATTATAGCTCAGACCCCTGAGACCCTGCAGTGCACTTTAGTTTCCCTCGAGACAGGAGTTCAGGAGTTTTCGAACCATCAGCCATGTTTTTCCAAATGTGTGATTGGTTGCCTGTGGGCTTTAGGATATTTATGGTCAGTTATTCAAAAATACATCCAATTTTCATCTTCTTATCTTCTTTTCTCTTTCTCATCTCTACCTCTCTCATCTGATTTTTTATTAAAATAGCTTGTTCCTGGACCGTTTCATAGTTTCTCCTTGACCTCATCATTTTTCATTAACTGCACCTACCACAGTTCAGTTCCACAGGTCAGCCGTTTTTTAAGCCATTAATTTGATCCGTCCCCCCCTTTTCAGTCTATCACGTCTTTTGCGATGAAGACGAAGCATCAGAACACCACATTCCTGCTGAGGAATGCAGGAGAAAAACGGTGTGTGACATCAAACAGGGCAGCACAGCAGTAATGCCCGTTTCAGTCCTTTGCTGAGCTCAGACAAATGAGACCCTCTGGCCAGGAAAGTATGCCTTATGCGGAATAGATATGCGTCACTTTTCAGTGTGCATGAAACTGGGATTTAAACAAGAAATCTGTTCATTCCATTCAGAGATTCCACGTGTGGTAGGGAGTGATGAGACAACTTTCTTACCTGTGCCCAGCAGAAACACAGAAATCCGGCCTTGGATTTCGAGTTTAGATCTGCAGAGGGACTTGGCGTTTTGCTTTGTATTCAAAGCAGATTTATGAAAGTGTCCCTTCGTTTTTTATTCTTTTTTTTTTCTTCAGCCTGGAAGTGCTGGGTCACATTGTTGTTGCTTCTTTTAGGAAGCCTTTAATATAAGTATTTGATCTTTGTTTGCCTACCCCGTTGTGTCTTCGAGGAAGTGCTAGGCTTAACCCATCCATAAATAAACATGCTTTAGTTGTAATTCTGTAGTAGGGCTCCTGTGAAAGAAGGTTCACAAACTGTGTAGGATTCTAGCCGTGTTGTGGTCAGGTATGGTACGGTCCCAACTACAGAAATATGATAACCGGAATACGAATAATAATGAATTAAAAACTGTCTTATCAGGTCAGCAGTGCTTGTAATTTTCCGGCACACTTTTCTAAACTTATCACAGTATTGAGCTCAGCCCTGAAAGATTGCATCACCTCTGTCCACAGTCTCCTTATGATCCATGATCCTTATGATCCATTGGTGAAGTTGCTGTGGTAATCAGCCACTTTCTATTCCTTAAAAATTAATGTGCAAAGATTTAATGAGACGTCCAGGCCGGGAAGGCAGTTTATGATCTTTAATAATTTCGACTATTTTCAGTTTTTTCCCCCGAACAAGGAGGCTTTAATTAGGGTCTGGTTATGGCCTTGCTGTGTAAAGATGGAGTGAATGAGTGTGATCCGAGGCAGGGCTGCGATTAAAACTGGCCCAGACTGAAACTTCCTGCTGTTGTTTTTGTGTTCTGTTGCGAAAGAACGTTTAAGATATAGATCTTGCGGAACAGATGTGTGTTTTGGAGAATCTGCGATCGTGGTAAGAGCTGCAGTTTCCTAAATCACAACATGTGAATTCTCACAGAGCCATCAAGTGTGTCTGCATCTCACTGGTCACACTGCTTTAACAAAGAGTAAAATGAAACATCATTGCGCAACAATTCATGTGATGGACTGGAAGATGATGTGAAGAATGACTACAAGATTTGATAAGGCTCTTGAAATTTTGAGTAAAATTTTCCTCTTTAACTGTGACAAACATCCCTTTGTGTTTTGATGGTCTGAAGTCTAAACAATATATTTATTGTATCAATTTGGTTGGATGGAAGAACGACTCTGCGTGGATTTTGTATGTTCTCCACGTGTTCATGGGGGTTTCCTCCAGGTCCTCCAGTTTTCTCCCACAGTCCAAATACAAACTGCTATTCTGGAAAAACTGGCCCTGGTCTGAGTGTGTCTGTGTTTGTCCTACGATGAACTGGCATCCTGTCCAGGATGTATCCTGCCTTTTGCCCATTGCTTGTTAGGATAGGCTCCGGCTCCCCCACAACCCACTGCTGGATAAAGCTGTTAGCGCTGCCTGTAAGCATAATTCTGAGAGATGTGCTTGAATGTACATGCCTGACAAAGCATGTCTGGGAGGCAAATCTGTCTGCCTCCCAGGGTGATGCAGAACGTGTTTCCCATTTTAAATAAAAAGGTCATTCACAGTGATAGGTCAGATTGATATTCTTGGAGGAACTAGGGATAATCCCCCCTCAAAATGGCAACTTGATTTTTTTTGTTGAGTTATAAGTCCAGTACCGGGAATCCAAAGTGCTAGGCTGGAGTGCTCTGCGAGCCCCAGAGGGGTAGTCCGTGAAGAAGCCTTCTCTCACACGGGTGTGGCTCTGTCCACCAGGTCACCCACGCCACCACGCGGAAAGTCATGGTCGTGAAGATCTACAAGAACGACGTGGACCAGGACAGCATCGTGCGAGAGATCAGCCTGCTGCAGAAGCTCTCCCACCCCAACATTGTCAGGTAGCCGCTTGAATAATTAACTCCCCTGTTGGGTTTCCCCTTTTGAATAAGTAATACCATTCAGTTTTTTTAACTGATGAAGTTAATGACCTGTCCTGGCATGACGCCTTGTGTTAATATTTTATGTTCTCCTTTTTCCATTTTAACATACATCGGCCCTTATAAGTACGGTTCCGTACATTAGGGTCTTGAGCGGGTTAATCATATTTCGGTCAAATAATTCTGTAATACATCTTCACACTTTGTTTGCCTGGGCAATTAACTGGTTTTCATACATAGAAGTGAAATTCTTATCATAAAATAAACACTTCCTGCTCAGTTAATGGCTAGTAGCTCACCTTGAGTCTGTAAGCAAGACTGTTTTAATTTTGTAAAACTGTTACATGAGACAAAATATTAACAAAATGTTGTGTGCAAAAGCTAAGCAACTGTAAATTAAAGTTACTCTCAGGATAGTGTGGTTAGTGTGAAAATGTTCTGAAAAAGTGTGCTTTATTTCTTTTGTGTTGGTGTTAGAGCTTTGTGTTGACATTTTTAGTTTTAACACTGCCAGTCACTTGTTAAGACTGCTGATGAAGAAGGGCCCGTCATGTTTGTTTTTCAGATATCTGGGGATCTGTGTTAAAGAAGATAAGCTGTATCCAATCCTGGAGGTAAGCTGCCTGTCTGAACTTTTCTGCCGTGACAGCAGAGAAGAGGTGAAGTGAGCAGGTGAAAACACGCATGAGATCGGAGAAACTTGTCGATTTGGCGTGTCGATAACGTCGTGCTGGTGGCCTGTCAGTTGATGGGACACTTCGGTCTGTGTTGTCGGGGTGGGAGTGGGGAATTCTTGCAGTGTTTCTGTTTCATATCAAATGACATTTAACCTCTGCTAAAAGAATACGGGATTTTATAGGAGCTAAATACATTTACGAAAGACTGGTTTGCTATACAGTACATAAAAGTTCACCAAACAGTGGCCACTTACGTTTCTTCATACAGAACTGGTGAATAAGAGGCATTGATCTTCTGTTGCCTATTTCTGAAGAGTCTCAGGCAATCAGCAGATATGAATGAAATGTCAAGTTTTGGCCCTGGCACAATGCATTGAGGTATAAGAGTGGATTCAGTGATTTCTACCACATTTTTAGTGTCTTTAGAAGCTGCAGCAATTTTGCAAACGGTACCAAAAAGGCAGGTTTGATCCATGGATGCAAAGTTCAGTAAAGAGTGCTTACCTTGTTGAAAAGCACTTCCTCCCCGACCCTCTTTCTGTCCTGTTGCATCAGTTCTGTGCACTGGAGATGGGTGTGGCTGATGGCGCCAACTTGCTTTTCTCTCCTCTGTCCCCTCAGTATATGAGTGGGGGCTGCCTGGAAGAGCTGCTGGCCAGGAAGGACGTCTTTCTCTCCTGGAGGGAGAAGGTGGACCTGGCCTCGGACATCACCCGAGGAATGATCTACCTCCACTACAAGAACATCTACCACAGAGATCTCAACTCCAAGGTGGGCCTAGGCCACCCTGCACAAAAGGCTCTGAAACCACACAAAACACGTTTTGCTATTTGAACAACTGGTCTCATTGTCTTTCCGCAATCTAGTTAGCACGGCTGTCGCAGCTTGCTGTAACTTGTTAGTTTGTCTCACCAGATTAAGACAGCACATAGATGAAAGTCTTCATGTAGTTATGCATACTTGGTTTTTTAAAAAAATTATCAGCGCACAAACTTGCAAGTTCGTTCCTAGTATGTGGCGTGTGAGAGGGAAGTATTCCAGCAAGGCAGTGACCAATGGTTTCACATTCAAATTCAGTTTTCAAGAACTGGAAAAACAACATCCTTTATCTTTTTAATTTTATTTTCAACTTCAAGTTCCCACTTGTTCTCTGCATCACCTTACAGATTCCGTATTTTTCCCCAGACGTCTATATATGGGATCAGCGAAATGCATATGTCTCACAGATTCACAGAGCAGTCCGGCCCGCAGTGCCCACAAGCCAGCTGTCCGCAAGGCATGCTCCAGCCTTTGGGCTGCTTTAGAAGTGTTTGGAAGAATGCGGACGCACGTTAGTCCTGTTTTCAAGCTTGTGCCTTGGGATCTGCCTGAAGCTGGTTGAGGGAGGTCTTCTCATAAATAGAAGAGTTGATCCTCTGGATCAACCCTGCAAAATAATGACCATATTTGACATGTGATATTTCAGTGAAGCTGCTTTGTTTACACAATAGTGAAAAGATCTTTTATATTTCTGTACATCTCAGATTTCCAGTTTCACCTTCCTACATCCGTCCGTTTTCTAAGCACTTTTCAGGCAAGGTAGGGGACTAAGCAGACCGAGAGAGCATCCGGTGATTTCAACGAAAGCTCACTGTTATTTTCGCTGTTGCGCCGGCTTCTGCTGTCTGTGGAAAACAGTCAGCCAGGAATGTGCAAACGGCAGCCGTTGCCAGGATCCGCGTGAGAGGGGCTACGAGCCTCCCAGTCTCTCCCCCTGACATCGCAGCGAGGGAGAGGCCACGCCTTTGTCATGCTAATGGCCCCATTCAGAAGAGTGTTACTGCTCACGGAGGCACACAGCCATCACACAGGGTGAAAGCAGAGTGGAGAGCTAGGGAGACACTGCCCCTGTGCTCCCTGGCTTTCTGCATTCTCCATTTCAGTGAGAGCTCCATGATGCTGGTCTGCCTGCTGTTTAAAACCAGTTATTCGTTTCCCAGAATAATTGCAATTACAGAATATAAGAAAGGCTATCTATTATTTTTTATTAATCTTATTTAATAAATGTGTCTCTGTTTTAGCTGCGTTTTTTACGCCAAGTGTTCTTGGGTGTTTAAAGCCGGCTAACCAACCATGTGGAAGAAGGCCATACTCTGGCTTCTTAAAAAAACTGGATGAGATTTTCAAATCAACTCACTTCTAAAAAAAGGCCAAATGGTCTCCGCTTGTTTCGTAGCTATTTATCTTTTCATACTGTATCTACATTTAGGTCATTAATGATACTTGTCTTCAAGAGACTTCTTTCCGAGAATGCTCTTATTTTTAAGACATTGTAAGGAGTCATTGGTGAGCTACACTGGTGCCCTTTCTTCACAAGTGTATTAGGAGATTATATCTGATTAGGCCTTGGCATTTGTGTCAGAAACTGTCTGGTATCACAACACATTGGATTGAATTTCAAGGAGCCCGGCTGTTTAACCTTTGCAGGTGGCCACCTCTGTCAGTGTGCCAGCATTGGCTCTGGAGGACTTGTTACAGTAGGTGAAATAATCAAAGCAGTCCTGTCTGTTTTGCAGTAGCATAAGAACAGAGAGTCTGATATTGAACTACCACTCCAGTCTAATTTAATCTTCTTGAATCTCATAAGTCTCAATTTCTTGTGTACTGTACAGCCTACACTTTGGTTATTAATGGCATAGAAGCATTATTTCAAACAGCCCTGTAATTTGGCTTTTTTAACATCAGCCAAGTTGGGGGAAAAAACAAAGTGGTGGTTTTTCCTTTAGTTTCTGACCAGGCACAGCCTGGCTTAGCTTCTGAGGTCTGAATATTTCAGGATTCTTGGCAATAAGCTCTTGATGTATTTAATGAGGGTTGGACAGATCCCAGATAACAGTTAATCGCAGGCTGCCGAGTGGAAAAGCAAATGAAACAGTACAAGACTACCGCAAGGGCAGCCTTGGTGAAACCGCAGGCTCCCTGAGCTCGTCAGCAGTTTTTCAGAGCAGAGTTCTGCTGCTGATGCTTGATGCTGCTTTAGATTTTCCTGAGGCGAGTCCATGTGGTTTGGGCAGGCAGTGCACTCTGTGCCTAGGGGTGGCTGAGCTTGTCCAGATGGCCATACGAGCCTGCAGCCTGCAGCTGGTCTCCTCGAGGAGCAGGACCAAGGACTTGCACCATGTTTCTGTAGGACTGATTTGCTTTCATCTCAAAATGGGATTACTGGCAATCTAATCAAGCCGTAACTGATGACTGAACGTGCTGTTCCTCACTGGTGTCAAACGCGGCTCTGTGACCTTGACTGCCCTGTCTCATGAACTGTGTGAATTAGTTTATCAAGGAGGAGGTCTTTAGAATTCACTCTTACATGTGTTGAACTGCATATTGCTATAATAAACAGTTGTGCTTTTTTGCATTAGGTTTAGCTCATTCTGGTTGTTTGTATATGGGGCTGTTATCTAGCTGGAAAAAGAGAGCCAGTCTCCAAATGTTTCTTCTAGGTAGCTTGTTCCCCACTGATATCGCCCTTTATACAACAAATCTTTTCTTAATTTTAAGTGCATTCTGTTTACAGCTGTGTCCTCTGGTTCATGCAGAAGAAGTCTGCTAGGTTGAAGCCGGTTGGTTCAGAAGGTTCAAACATGAGCAATGCTTCCCCCTGCTGGCTGAGTTTATTGTAGCAATGGATTTGCCTCGTTGAGACAAAAGTCTGTATCTGCAAAAATTATCCCTTAAAATAATAGATTTCCTATTTCTAATATACAGAATAATCAACAGATTATTATTTTTTTTCAATTTCCATCTTTCTGTTTTAATCTTTTTGTTTTACGATTTTTTAAAGCTGTAAGTAAAATGATAGTTTCTCTACAGAATGAGGAAGGTTCACCATCGGAGATTTGAATTCTGTGGGACACAGCTTTGGAGCCGTTACAGTACACACCTACAGCTCTGATAAATCCAACAATTTCACCAGGGAGTTGATGTGGGGGAGGAAAGGCGAAGCGATTATATAAAGGGAAAATAAAAGCTTTTAGAGCTCAGCTTGAGTTCATGTGCACTGTCAATCTCGTCTTTTCGGAAAGGTAGCTGTTACACCAGAGTTATGAACTGTTCTTCACTAAGTGTCCTGTTGTATTGAGACGAGGCTCAAGAACATGAGAAAGGACACCATTCAGCCCCTCTAGCGCATTTGTTAGTTCATTGGCAGCCGGGGTATCCACTGCAATAGCAACTTGTTCCACACTCCCACCACCCTTTGTGTAATGAAGTGTAGGAAGGAAATGTCCCCAGGTGCACACTGGGATCTCGAACCCTCAGTACAAGCTATCTGAACTGAAGGGGGTCTTACTGTCTGTCGCTACAGAACTGCCTGATCAGGGTGACGCCGCGCGGGAGGGAGGCGCTGGTGACCGACTTCGGCTTGGCCAGGGAGGTGGTGGAGCTGCCGGCCAAGGACCCCGAGCGGAAACTGTCCCTGGTGGGCTCTGCCTTCTGGATGGCACCGGAAATGCTGCGAGGGGAACCATATGACCGCAAGGTACTGACCGCAGGGCCAGGAGTTAAAGTATCTCCTGGTGGGGGGGAAATCAGTCCGTTGGAGCCCATGGTCCTCTTGCACGCTGGTTAGGTTGCTCAGACACTCACAGCATTGGCTCGGCTGGTTAATGAATTTGTTATTAATTATTATTTGCGCACCAAGTTGTATATGTCTACTGTAAACGAGTTTCCACTTGTATAGCTTGTGTTCTTCAGTGTCCCAGTTAAAGATTGACTTGATTTTGATTAACTTCATTCTTTGTGTTATATGATGTTTCTTCCCTTAAACCGAAACGGTGAGGGTCTCGAGCTGGCAGGAGAGGAGCTCCTCTTCCTTCGGGGCTGTCACATGCTCTCTTAGGTCACACCTTAACAACAGGGCTCTACATCACCTGCTCGTTTTGCCTCTCCCTGCAGGTGGATGTTTTCTCCTTTGGGATTGTACTGTGTGAGATTCTTGGCCGGATACCTGCAGATCCTGAGGTTCTTCCCAGAACACGGGTATAAACATTTTTGTGTGGTTGCTGCTTGGTTCAATTCTGGACAGTCATGAGTGCACATATCTCTTTATGCACATGTGGTTTCATCTGGGTAATCTGGTTTCTTCCCATCTTCCAAGGATGTGAATTAATTCGGTTTTTAGGGGTCTGTGTCTTGAGCGTGTGTGCATGTGTGTGCAACTTACAGTGATGCCGCCGGTGCCGTTGGTACCTGACCACTGCTGACCTTGTCTGTCCCTTGCGACAGGATTACGGGCTGGATGTGGCTGCGTTCCGGGAGATGGTGAGCGGGTGTCCACAGAGAGTGCTGGAGCTGGCAGCCAACTGCTGTCAGGTGACTGTTTATCCTGGCTTCAAGCCTGCCGCCATGCTAAACTACTTCCCCTCTCAGCCATATTGGTTGCAAATCTAATTAGCTTGCAATGCACTGCATGCACCTGTGATGCTTTCTTGCTGTTTGGGTGTGCTGTGATCACTGGCCGTATTCCAAATTGTGACAAAACAAGCAGGTGGGTAAGAACTAATTTGCTTACTGGCTCAGCTGTCCTCCTCCCTGCTCTCTTCATCTGCCCAACCACCCTGCTCCCGTTTCAGAAAGCCGGGGAGTTCTATCGCTCTGTTTCTGTGTACAGAGCTCCTGAGCACAGTTCGTCCAAACTGGTTCATGTGCTGAGCCAGGCTAGCCTGTAGGGGCCAAGGAAACGGGTGAACTGCTATTTCAAAAACCTTTCAACCCACATGCTTCTGGATAGCATGGCCTTTAGTGAGGCAATGGAGAGACCCCTTTCACAGCTCTGGCGTTTTCATTAGAAGTAATACACACAGCTCCAGACCTGAACAGCATCAGCGTGTAGCTCTGCCTCTGGTAGTTTGCTGGGAACGAGTGATCATTAGGATATTTGCGCCACAAGGGTATGAAAACAGTCCCACCTCGTGTTGTGGGTTCCTGTTTCTAACCTCACAGGGCTATCTCTCGATTTTCCTTTCTCCTTTCCGCTCAGATGGAGGCATTTCGGCGGCCATCGTTCACAGAGCTGCTGGAAGAGCTGGAAGAGGTCTCCGAGACGCTGGAGCCCCCAAAGGCCGAGCTGGCGACGGGGTGAGGGCCCCAGCACAAGCCCCAGGATGGGCCAGTCTGGACTGGACCACTGCTGCTCTCCGTGTGCGTGTCCAGCCCGGTCTCGAGCCCAAGAGGACTCTCCACATTCCGCTGACACTGCTGTGTGTTTCCTGGGAAGAATGTCTGGTAGGCTGGCATGAAGAAGGACTGATTCTCTGCTGTTTCTCTTGATTTCTCAGAAAAAAACCCAGTTGGGTTTGATCGGATCCGTGTTGCACCAGGAGCCTGTTGTGTGTGTGTGTGTGTGTGTGTGTGTGTGTGTGTTCGCACGAGCTGTTGCTCACATTAAACCTATAGAAGCTTTTTTATTCAATGTGGAACGATGGTGATATATGAACAAACAGAGGCTGTTTTTCTCTGCATTTCTTAAAAGACTCAATAAATATAGATGTGATCTTAATTGTTCAGGCCCTAGAGTAACTCTACCAGTGTGCACAGTGAGAAATTGTCCTCTGGTATATAATAACATGCAGACACACTGCAGCATCTTTTTATTTGACCTTTTCAGCAAAATACGCTGTTCTTACGGCAAAGTTTTGTGCTTGAAACGGCCTTAAGTAAGCTTGACAGAGCCTGTATTCCCACTTTCCTCCTTCCTGCCAGCAGCCCGGATGAGTGTGTGGGTGGCGTCTTTTGCAGTGAAGTACTGTGTCTTTTCTCTTCTTGCACCTGAATTTGAAAGTGCCTGGAGCTTAGTTGACCATAATGAGATTTTTTTTCTTCAGTTTTTGAAGTTCATATTGATCATTACAAATGCATTTAATGTTTTGATTCACACTTTGTTATAGAAAACCTGGAGATAGGTTTGATGAAATTTGGGTACTACCAGCGAAGCTCACATCGGAATCTCTGACAGGACGTAAAGTATGTCAGCGTTCATTGTAAAGATGAAATCCAGGTTGTGTTAATCCTCAAAAAGTGATGCTTTTGGGAAGCACCATGTCTGAGGCAGAGGGGAGATGTTCGGCAACTCACCAGCCATTGAGAATATGCTCTTCGTCAAGGTCAGTTTCCGGGTTATACTATCTGGTACCCCGGAGCTCATTTCTGTGTGTGTGGGAAGAGTGTTTGAGTGGCTCTCCTGGGATTCCTCTGCTTCCTCTGGTTTCTTCTGTGTTTGCTTGCTCGCGGGTTGCCCCAGGCATTGAGACATTCTGAAATAATAAACTTGGCCAGATTCGTCAGAGCCTCTTTTGGGAATGTTTGCCTGCTTAGTAGACTTTGCTTGAAGTCCCGAATTTCTTTTTTAGTCGGTAATTAGAAATATTTTTGTGCTTGGTAGTATTAGCACTTATTCCATGTTTTCGTTACATGTGCAAGTGTACATAAATGTAAATATTTCAGATGTACAGATTCAAGAGCTGATTTAGTACTGTAAAGCTTTGCAATAGTACTGGTGCTAATTACATTATTGTTTTTGTTAGAGTAATAAGTCTGCGCTCTCTTGCAATTATGGACCTCAGCTTTTAATACCTGCTGAAACTATTTTTTTTCATAAAGAATTTATGGGTGAACTGCCTGGCAATTAATTTCTCACTCTACTTGGATGCATGTGAATATCATTGTCACGGATGCATTAGATTGTTTTGGAAGACCAAAAATGAGTCTATAAAAGCCAATGCTAGTAACATCTCAGTACAGTACACTGGTTTGATAACAAGGCACAGTTCTTATTTACATGACTGGAGTGATTTAATTTCATGAACTGTTTGTTAAAGACACACACTGCCCTACCGAAATATGAGAGAATGCCCCTCATAGCAGTTGCCCCATCTCCAGGTGTTACGTCATGGCATCATTTAAGGAATGTTCACAGCTGTCCCTCAGAGATGTGGAACCACTAATTGACACATTACACTGGTCTGCTGTTGCATGCATATCAACCATCATTTTTCTTGTGCACTCACTCACAGCAGTGTTTTTACTAGGTTGTACCTGGTCTGCTACCTCTTGTACTCTGGCATCATGGGTATGGGATGTCATAGCTTGTGCTGGGACATTCCTACTGCTCTGGATAGAGAGGGCCGCTCGTATTTCGATCAGGCTGTTTATATTGTGAGTGTGTTCTATAGGATTTGTTTTCTGTAACCCAAATCTTTCAGCAATACACTAGTGCTTTGTAATAAACTAGAAAGCATTCTAATTGTGGTTACAAACTTTACTGTACATGTACAAGAATGACATCAGACATGCTTCTGGTTGTTCAATCTCTTTTATGCAGTAATGCTGTGGATTTTGAGTATGGAAAGTATTTACAGATGAGGCTCCATCAGTGAGCTGTGGTGAGAATGGTGCCCCATCGTTCTCGGGATACATTTGAGAATGTGATTTAACCAGAGCGCACACCCATCCACCCATAAGCTTTAATTTCACATTGAAGATTATATTATTAATGGCTTGTCAGATTGGATTAATTATCCCTGTTTGAGTATGTGTTTTATTTTTAATTCTGAATTTTGACCTTTTTTTAGGTAATACTAACAGAATTCTTTGTCAGGCAATTACATTGGCACATGAGCTTGTTCAGACATGATGAGGCAGCACATATCTGGAAGACTAGATATAGATATCGACTGCCAGTGGGTTTCTATGGATCATTTATGTACATAAGGAATAATTAAAAATAAAGTTTTTTTAAACTATTAATGGAACTTTTGTCTTTTTTTCCTCCAGAGGATGATCTCTTCAGGGACACAGCTCTGTTTTTACTTTATTGACTTGTGTGTTGCTAGAGCATGCAGCCCGATTTCCTGAAGTTTTTTTAGGATTGTGCAGAGTAAAAGCAAGTATTTGTCTGACCTGTGCAGCAAAAGTAATTTTGGCTTGTCTTGCTGCTTGTGCACACGTGTGCCCACACCACACACCGGCTGGGGTCTCCCAGTGCAGGTGACGGTCAGCACATCTCGGAGGCGAGCGCTCAGAAGGGGTTAGCACTGGTAGCAGCTGTGTGGCTCTGTTTGCTTTCCTGCAGGTGTTGCTTAGTGACTCTTCGGCCCTTGGACCAGACTGGAGACCAACACGCACGCAAGAAAGCAGGAATAGGAGACTCGTCTTCCTCTTCCTCTTCATTGGAAATCTGCAGTATCTTGGGTTGACTGTGAATACATAGTTATACCCTTATTTAATATATGATACATGTTTTGTTCTGGATTTTTCATCTGGATTTTGCTGTTCTGTATGGTAGAAGTCTCCAGAGTGTAGACGATTTCCTAGATATTTCCCGAAGAATGATGTCCGTATGTCTGCAGTCTCTGTTCCAGACGGCTGATAAATGTGAGAGATGAGATCATTTCGAACCCGCGTGCCAGGAGGTCCAGGAGCACATTTCTTGCTTTCTTCACTCTTCTTGCACCTCTGCAGAAACTTCCCCAAAACCGATTTCACAAGGATAATGAATTGGTCAAGATGTGGTACTTTTTCTGTTTTCTGATTATTTCTGGCTATTATTATTTCTTTGCTTAAAATATAAAATAAAAGAATGCATTTCTCAAAACGATGCTAATGCTGCACTGTTCCACAAAGATTCTCACTGCAGCTTTGTTCTTTGTTGCAGAAAAGCAGGGCTCTTGTGATCAAAGGTTGTTTTGACTGCCTGTCTCTTTCCATTCCACATTCATTACGAAGCCTTTGTGTCAGCCTCCAACCACAAAGCCCATTGACAGACCAGCCTTTGAATTGGACACTGGCTGTTGCTTCAGGTAAAAGATAGTTATTTCCTCGGGTCTGCGTTGTGGCCAGACGTGTTGGTAGCAGGCAGGTCGCAGTGCAGGCACTGTCTTTACCTGCCTCTGTTTTTCTTTTGGAAGTGAGGACATAAGCCGGGGATAGGTGTAAGGCATATGGTTTCTGGAAACTAGTATTTACAGAATGGCTCAGGCAGAACTGGCTCATGCAAAGTCATTCATGTGCAAAGCTGTATCAGGTGAATAATTTAAAGGTCTCATAAAGGAGTGACAAACTTCTGCCTTTCCCTTTTTTTGAAGTTCTATCAAACGAGAAGGTAACAAAAGCCCAGCTGAACAAACAAACGGCAGTTTCCTGCCGTTTTTCCAGTACAGTGAATTGTTCCCTGTTTTTACGGTTGCTCTTGCACTGTTATTATTTGTTCAGACCTGTTCCCCGGCACAGCCGTGTCCCCTTGTGTGAACTGCACAGCGGTTATCAGTCGCACTGCAAGCATTGCAGATCTGTTCCCCAGCAGAGAATCATGTAATCCTGCAGTGACCCACAATTCATCTCTGACTTTGGTGGCAGATGGTATTAAATTTGCTTGCTTACATGTAGATGGCTAAATCCTTTGTGCTAAACCTTTATGGGAAATAAAATTAATAATTGCAGCTCGATGGGGTTAGGCTGCAAGACCACAGAATTTGAACTGACAGGTCTCCTGTGACAGTTTCTGACCACTGCAATGATGCTCTGACATCCACTACTGTTCCCAGTTCTATGTATGTTCACTTATTTAACCTGTTTTTAAACCTAGAAAAAGCCTGTAAAAAAATAGTTTTTTTAATACAGAGATCATGTGAAAAAAATAATTTACCTTGTGAGTATCCAAGGAACTGAAAAGTCCAAATTTTCAATTGATCTAGCTTTAATGATTCTTCACTGTCTTTTGAGTGTGTCAATATCTATTTAAACAGCAGTCTCTGTCATTGTCACTAGATCACAGCTGGTCTGTTCCAGGAGAACATCAGTAAAGATATGTGGGGAAGTGGATGAGTTGAGAATTACCCTCACAGTTGAAGCCAGGCTTAACTTTCATTTTTTGTTGTAGGAAATCTGAATCAAAAAGGAGGAACACCAGACACACTGATGGAAATGGAGTTCCTCTGCATTGATGAACAGCCTGAGACTATTTATGTAAGTTAAACTGCTGTCTTACTGCTGTCTTTTGTCAGTGTCCTACATCTGTATTTCATAACTTGTATTAGCTTTAGAACGGTCCTCTACTGCAAAATATTAAAACTGATTTATTTAAGTGTTGCTCTAAAACTTCCTATAATGGTTCAAGCAAGAAGAATCGATAGGCAACTGGTTTTGTCAGCACAAGACCAGATGGGTAGGCTGCAAAGGAACAAGTAATAGGTTTATTCCCTGCTGAAAAGAGAAGAAAGAAAACAATTTGTTTCAGCTGTGGAGCCCTCTCTGGGTGTGAATCCACCCGAACTCACACCCGAAGAAAGCTCTGCAGCTAAAACATTGTGTTTTCTTCTCTTTTCAGCAGGGAATAAACCTATTACTTGTTCCTTTGCAGTGTTATGTAAAGACTGGTGTTGATTGATAGAGATTGGTGTTGGTCTGTATGGCTCTGTGTTGCAGTGAGATTCTTACTGGATATTATAAATGTGAATTAATGTTTTGCTATTTGATGACCGTAGTGCTTTCGTTGATCATTTCTCTGCTTAAGCTTGTAATGGTCGAACTCGGTAAATACTGCCCAGATTTGAATTTCAGATTCGTAACACCAGAAGAAACAGCTGAGCAGTTGTAGACTGCAAAGAATCAAACAGCTTTGACACAATTCAGAAAAAATCTTACAGTCCCTCAGCTGTTTCTGAAGCATGCTCACGTCTGCTGTAAAATTGCAGCCACGTGAAAAATGTGAAACACATGAATTATAAATTGATCAAAAATTCAGAGTACTGCTTTGCATGTCAATGGGAGAGAGCTTGGTTCCAGGAGCATCTGCAATTGCTGCTTTTAAACAGCCCAAAGCCTTCAAAGGGTTTGGAGAGCAAGAGTGGGTGGAATGTGTTGAGGAAAGTCCTGCTGCTGAGGGAGTGACTCATCTGTGTGGATTGAAGGCTGGTTGCAGAGGCAGGGCCTCTTCATCCTCACAGAAGATGAAAAACAGCTTTGGTTCAAATTCAGGCACCTGCTGCTGGGGGGTGACTGCTGTCCTACTACTGTATGTCTGAGTCTAGCCTTGTGTTTAGACTGTTGTGTCCAAATGGGACTTGTCATACGTGTCCTGTCCACAGCCCTGTTCCTTGGCTTTGAGTATGACTGAGCTTGACCTCCTTCCTCACCAATGTCTTGTCTGTGTTGACCAGTGATGGAACACTAACAGCAGAAGCATTCGAGTCTTTACCTGTTACATTTTACACCATGTAGAACACTTATGAAGGCCGTTCCTTCATTAGGTCAGATCCAGCCATTCAGAACGCGCTCCGAATAATGCAGCACACTGCGGTGTACACACCCCACCACACCCTGCTCGTTCTTAAATATTCTGTTGTGGGACCGCACTGTTTTGTAAAGCTGCCAGGTGGCCCAGCGAATGCTTAATGTGGCAGGCGGGAGCATACGGGCTGTCGCCACAAAATGCCTGGTTTTGAGTCCTGGTCAGTGTTGAGCCCCTTGGTACGATCTTTTTCCAGTTTATAGAATTTAAGTTGTATACTTTTTAGAGTTTTATTAATGTTATCCTGTATATTACACTGTTAAATATTCATTTAAAAAAATTAAGTACGGCTATTTTAGAAAAACACAATTAGAATTAAGTTGGCTGATGTTATAAAACTACTTTACATGCTGTTGCATTTACACCCCCACTGCAAGCTCATTAACAGTTTCAAAAATCCTGACTGGGAGAAAAAAAGTCACGTGTGTACATGTTTTTTTCCTCATTGCAGTATACAGTCTAACAGTGACTAAACAATATACACAACACACATTTTTATTTATTTGTGGAATAGTTTGATTTATTGTAAGACCACTAACATCAACAGAAAACATGGATATTTTTAATGTGAAAACGCTAAGACCAGTGAGTAACCCCAGAAACCACATCACTGGTATAACACACAAGTACTGTATAACAACCCCAATACTAAATAAACAGTAGAACCACAATTATATTTGCCGTTGTATTAAGTTACAACAGATACAAATCTGAAAACCAGTCTGAATCATTTTAAAACACAATTTATGAATCCTGCTGTATTTCACTGTATTTTGTTCAGATCATGGCTTGCCCAGTGGGTTTTTTGTTTTGATTATACTATGAATCAGTCCCCAAGACATACCATCAAACGGTTTGAAATGTAAAAATGAATCCAACCTTAGTTGAGTTTGCTCGAGAGAAAGGGATACCTTTTAAGAAGCCGTGTACTGTTGGCAAAGTAGCTGATTTTGCTTGGAGAATTTAACATCTGTCTATTGTAGCTTATTTCATTGAGCTGAAGGTTACCTTTCTCTTAAAAGCGGCTGTTAGCAGATGGGTTTGTTAACACACGAGTGTGTATTACTTCTGCTCGCCCCTTCTCTCGGGGAAATGATACAAGCTCCACTGTTCCGACACCCACAGGTCTGCTTCTTTGACGGTCTTGTTACACGAGTGGGTTGCGCTAAACTGTGATATATAAAACTGATCAAAATGCCAATATTGTGTACATATTCATTTAATTATAAGAGAATGGTTTTATTTAAGATGTTAATTGTAGAAATATATTAGATATAGTGACTTTTAAATCTTTGTATTTGATACCAGATTAAGACCAGGAGTCTGCACCCAGATCGTACAACCTGTATGTCGGCTGTTCCGTTACACTATTTTAATGAATCGTACAGGATCATAGGATCTATAAGCCTGGAGACTTGTCTTGTACAGTGCCCTGATAGAAATCACATTAATTACCCTAATTTTTATAGAATCCCATTTCCGCCAGTGAGGCTTCCACAGTACCCGGATGGAATAGTGCGTGGTGGGCTTTTAAAAATACTTTTTATTTACGGAGACAAAATATGAAATAAGATACAGAAATAGGCACTTCACATCCAGAGGAATTCACAATTATAAAAGCTAAAACATACTTTTTACGTATTTCTATTGTATGTCTTTTTTTACTTAAAAAAGGTCTTCTTTAGCTCGGGTGGCAAGACCCGGGTTCGAGCCCCTGCAGTGAGGAGCGGCGAGGGCACCAGCCCTAGAACCCGAATCCGTTACAAGAACAAGAGGACAGACAATGAAATATGGGCTGTTTCGATGTCGCAAATGAGATATATAGTCGCAACTCTATGGAAGATACCATAGCGCGTTTTTTTACTCCCTGGCGGAGATGGGCTTCCACACACTAGAGTACACACTCTAGAAAGAAATATCCTGAACACAGTGAGGACAAACAGACGCATTTTATTGTCTTTATCAAAAATCTATTTCTTGAGTTGTGGGAAACGTAGGATATAAAGTTATTTTTCTATATCTTCTCTAAAATGTCTACTACCATGGGAAAAAAACCGAAGTGATTGAACACGAGAAAAGAATCTGCGTGTTTTTTTATGAAGACAGCCTTCGTAAAAAATGCAAAAGTAAAATGGAGAGAATACATTTTACTGTAATAATTCAATACTACCAGCCCAAGAGAGCCTCCTTATAATATTTAAGTTATTTTTACACTTTTTAAATCGTTTTGCACTTTCCTAGCCTTTAGGGGCTTATACAGTGCTCGTAATTAACAGGTTTAAACGAAAACGAAAAGACTACGCGTGCCTGCTATAGAGAGGAGGGGTCAAGCCTCTGAATGGTCAGAAGTCTCTGATTGACAGCTGTTTGAACTAATCAGATGAGCTCTTTCTGGAACCGGTCGATTTGAACGTATAGGGCTTCGGCAGCCATCTTTGCAGGATATTTGTTTTATAAACTCGTGGGTTTTCATAGTAAAACAGCAAAGTGAACGCAATTTCCCAAGGTAAGGTAAATGTTCTTTATATATTTTTGCAAATTGTTGCTTTTGCGCTCGTATTTTGCCGGAAAACCGATAAATTATAGATGTATTTCCCGCTTCTCTAAACTGAAACGCGAGATGAAAGTAAGGAGGAAAAAGGTTCGTTAGCTTTCTGCTAATGTATCTGGTTATGAAGCAGTTCTGAGACGCTCAGGCTGGCTTGTGTTGTGTGATGTATAGTATGTTATTTTGTTTTTTTATGTTTATTATTCAACCTTTGTGCAACTCTAAAGTTTGGCATTACACTATTTCTTTATTACAAAATAGTTTCGCTGCAGTGAAAACACTCTTCATGGTCGTGTTTGGAGGATATTGGAGATGAATTGTATTGACAGTATTTTGAGAGACGATTTAAAAACTGGTTCTGGTCGTGAGAAGTGCGGCGGTGTGACGTGCTGACTATCAGAGTGTTCCTGTTCAGAGACCGTACTGTACTTCACTGGTTTCACTGCTCTTTGTCACTACAGATTATGAGTATTTAAAATGTATATGTGCCATTTCGTTTTAAGGCTTGTTGTAAACCGGTGGAAAGGATTCCAGGTAGCTAACACATTCATGGTTTTAATTTTTTTTACTTTTAACATGTGATATCTAAACATGTAGCCATATTGTACATGTTATTTACTATTTTAATTTTAGGGAAGGAGTCTTTGTTAGAAATAAAACTGCCCTTTACTGAGCGACGCTGTTCCAGTGACCGGGGGTAAAGTAAGCTTGAAGTTCGAAAACGATGTTGGCACGCCAAACCAACTGCATTTTAAAGACCACGACTTGTGGAAATGTCCACAGCCTCTACATCAAACTATCAGTGAGCTAATGATCTTTTTTTAAAACTCCGGTTTTTCATCGATGCGTAATTACGCACTAACTGGACCGCTGTGTATGGAAGCCCGTTTCCGCCAGGGAGTAAAAAAAAACGCGCTATGGTATCTCAGAATTGCGACTTCGAAATAGCCATATTTCATTGTCTGTCCTTTTGTTATTGTAACGGATTCGGGTTCTAGGGTTCGTGCCCTCGCCGCTCCTCACTGCATTGGCTCGAACCCAGGTCTTGCCAGCTGAGCTCAAGAACACTTTATCCCCGGCGGCCAGCATCCCTGTTATGCGCAGGGGAGGGCGGTGCCGTCACCACACTGCAACCAGATCGTACAACCTGTATGTCGGCCGTTCCGTTACACTATTTTCATGAATCGTACAGGATCATAGGATCTATAAGCCTGAAGACTTGTCTTGTACAGTGCCCTGAGAAAAATCACATTAATTACACTAATTTTTATAGAATCCCATTTCCGCCAGTGAGGCTTCCATAGTACCTGAATGGAATAGTGCGTGGTGGGCTTTTAAAAATAGTTTTTATTTACGGAGACAGAATATGAAATAAGATACAGAAATAGGCACTTCACATACAGAGGAATTCACAATTATAAAAGCTGAAACATACTTTTTACGTATTTCCATTGTATGTCCTTTTTTACTTAAAAAAGGTCTTCTTTAGCTCAGATGGCAGGACCTGGGTTCGAGCCCATGCAGTGAGGAGCGGCGAGGGCACCAGCCCTAGAACCCGAATCCGTTACAAGAACAAGAGGACAGACAATGAAATATTGGCTGTTTCGATGTCGCAAATGTGAGATATAAAGTCTGAATTCTGAGTTGCTAAGTCGCAATTCTGAGATCCCATAGTACGTTTTTTTTTACTCCCTGGCGGAAACGGGCTTCCATAGCTGTGTGCACAGCTTCACAACCGAGAAATACTGTCCAATACGGCTTCGTGCGAAAACCCGTCTCACCATTTCGGAAACCCTTTCTTTATGTCCTGTTTTCATTCAGGTAAGGGTCAACTATATTCACAATACTTCAGACAGCAGGAAGATCCAAATATTCTTTACTCAGCAGCTTATTAAAAACAGCTCCCAATATGTTCAAACTGATTTTTTACACAGAAGACTGACACAGCTTTGCGTTCCGAATCTTTTTCTCGTGCTTCTATTTAATGTGGCACTGTGCGCCGGGATAGGAGTATGCTGTTCACAAGCCAATAGCACTTAAACCACAGCACCCACAATGCTTAGTGTTTTATACACTGAGCAAGTCCTCTGACCTTTCCCAGCTTTGTTTTATAGATATTTGAATCTTCCTGCTGTCTGCTGTGAATATAGTTGACCCTTACCTGAATGAAAACAGGACATAAAGAAAGGGTTTCCGAAATGAAACAAAGCTTTATTCCCGTGCTCACAGTCTGGGTAATCGGAGACTGCGCTGTTCTGCTTCCTATGGTGAGACGGGTTTTCGCACGAAGCCGTATTGGACAGTATTCCTCGGTTGTGAAGCTGTGCACACAGCGGTCCCCCGGGGTCCAGTTAGTGCGTAATTACGCATCGATGAAAAACCGGAGGTTTAAAAAAAGATCATTAGCTCACTGATAGTTTGATGAAGAGGCTGTGGACATCTCCACAAGTCTCGGTCTTTAAAATGCATTTGGTTTGAAAGCGTTCTGTGCTTCCATCGCGAAGATATGGACAAAAGAATATTCGTGCGTGGTCCAAAAAAGTGAAGCCCGAGGAAACATTCACAATGTATTTTATACACAAAGCAAGTGTTCTCGCAACTCTTAGAGGTTTCGTGAAAACGCTACAAGCGTGCCAAAATCGTTTTCGAGCTTCAAGCTAACTTTACCCCGGTGTTACAGTGGACGTGTAGTTCAAGCGGACAAGTCGAAATGTTTCCGTAGTAACCACAAGGGAACGATCAATGAGATCAATGTAGATACTATTACCAGCTATATAAATGTATTAATAGATCCATAAATTAATATCAGTAATGACGTTAAGAATGTTTTTCAGCTACCAAAATTGATTTACATGATTCCATAGTAATATTCCCTGTAAATGGATTTAAACTACAACCTTTTTACAATAATAACGACAGCAAGTATTCATGCAAAAGGTTAAAACATTATAGCTTTTTATAAAGTATATAAACGTATTATTGTTAGAACCAGAATGTCAGACTTTTTCCAGAATAACCACAGTAAGTGACTGACTTAGACTTTGCTGCAGAAAATGTTTATGAAGAAGGTGGCATGCTGTTGTGTATTTTCTGGCTACCACTGCGAGCTGTATGCAGTATGTATAATGTTTATATTCCTAAATTAATATTATTTATTACCGACAGAGACATTGTGTTGTTTTTTGTCAGCTACCACAATTTACCTTTAGTTAAAAAAATCCATACCTGTATTAATATTCTATATTGAGTAGATTTAAGTAGTAGTAAATAAAAGTAGGGAAACGGATTAAATAAAATACGGTTTCACTAACATCAAACGCGCCACAAGTGCCTCCTGAATCACACGGGTACCGCGCCAGGTTTCCAAGACATGGCACGCTTTTGAGTGGCTGCGTCTGTTGTCATTGGATGATTGGGCACTGGGTGGAGCTGATCGATGAGACATGATGGCAGCAGCTGGGAGCCATTGGGTCTTGTATGTTATGATGTACCTCCCCTCCATTTAAGGTTCTTTTAAATCTTTTTTGTTTGAGGTCCTCCAGTATATGCACGTCTTGCCAAACCGTGACTGTAAACGAATTGCATACTAATAGCTTTTACGTGTCTTAAGGGTCTCCTAATGAGTGTGTTAAATTTCATTTGCATGTGAATCCTGAAGTAGCTGTACTTACAAGTGCATTGCCTTTTAAGGCACCTGTACTTGGTGTGGACAGGATCTCTGTGCTTTTCCACAAGTGAAGCATACAGATTTATTTTCTAGAAGGCATCACAAAGCTTTTAGTATTCTAATTTTTCCTGTGTAACGAATATGCAGGTTGTCTTTTGGCAGCCTCACATTTTAATATAATATTAATATTCTTTCCACATGTCCATACTGTATTGTACTACAGCAAGGGTCTGCTGTACTGATCCAGCTTTTAGTGTTTAAAGATCTCCTGTAACACAACCTCGAGTCACACTAACCCCAATGTCTCACTCATTGCTCGCTTGTGAGCGAAAACACTTTTCAAGAGGTGTAAGAGGCAGCAGTAATTCAGATGAAGATGCAGATGGAATTTCATTCATAGCTTTTGGAATAAATCACTTCTCCTGGCTCTCTATTAGCCTGCATTATAGATCTCAAGATTCCCCATCTTGTAGAATTCTTATTCTAATGGAAATTTGATGACAATGTAAAATGTTTGTACAGTACGTTAGCAACTCCTTATAAAGGGAGAACAAAGCTACAGCTATCCTGTCTAAGGTATCCATACAAGGAAATACAAATTTTGCTTTAAGCCCATAAGATCGGATTTCATTTTTTGCAGGGAAAACTAGAAAACCTTTCTCAGTTATAGAATTCCATGCAATTTGCATTATAGGGTGTGATAACTGTTGTTCAGTATATAATGTCTTTAACATGCTTGCTTGTTTTGTCTTGAGCTATTTATTGCTTGATCTCTGTCAGACTGGATAGAAGTTAAGTCATCCTTCAACTGGTGGTCTGTCAGTTGCTGTTTTAAAGGCTGGGTGCATCTGCCAATACTTCCAACCTCTTGTCCTCATACCCAAGCTACATTACCCTACTTTTGATTGAAGTACTACTGAGAGACCTGGTGTTGTTCAGACAGAAGTACTGTAAATTACCCTGTTTCGCCACCTGGTGGTGAGAGAACATTTCACCTATCCCCTTGAGGTGTAGGTGCTGCGTGTTTTGGTGTAACTGCTGAGCTCTTTCCAAAACAATTTGTGTGGAATTCGGCTTTTTTCAGAGACGGTAAAGAGAGAATAAACTTGCAGTGTAGCTTACAAAGTTTGAATTACTTGAGGTTGATGAGATTGTTTTGGTCCACTTAATATGTGCCTCTTGCTGCTTGAATTAGGTCTGACCTGTCAGTAAAGATTTTGGAAAAGAAAGATGAGATACTGCAAGAAGACCCTGTACAAGCAGTTAAGACAGAAGCTACATTACCTGGGTCTATATCTCTGTGAAATACTGAACAGCAAGACGTTAACTTGTGGGTGTCTGGACAAGCTTGTCCAACAGCAAACTGGTTCAGGAGGGTTGTAGGACTGGCTGGATAATGTAATCTGTGTCTTAAACTGCTAGGACATCAAGCAGAAGAGCTTAGTCTTCAGCTGTTTCCTGACTCTAGTCTGTTTCCTTCTCTGTTAGACTCAGACAGCTTTTAATGGAACTTTATAACTGGTCAAGTAGTTATGAAGGATCTGCATACTCTAGAAGGAAAAAAACTTTCTTTTTTAAACAAAGTTTGTTTTATTGTAATAAGGGTTACAGAGAAACATCTGTTGCTGTTTTCAGCTTTAAAAAAGAAGCAATTTACACAGGTATTCAATTTCAACAGTGGCTTATCAAGGTCACACTGACTCAGCTTTTTCTCTTGGAGTTTAGATTTATACATACAGATCCTTTTTATCATTAATACTGAAAACAGACCAGGGTGTGTTCCTGTCCTGACTTTCTTACACAATAATGGGCAGATTTCCATTAAAATCCCTTTTAAGATAACAGAAGTCACTGTTTTAGTTCTGGTTGTACAGCAGGTCACCGAGACCTTTCCCCCCCTGTGCTGTTCCACAGTGGAACTGCTGCTGGAGAGGTCCTGCCTTGGCGCTGCAGGGCCGATGAAAGTGAGAATGGAAACGGGTCCTTCTCTCTGTGTGGCTGCCAGGGCAGAGGCTAACAGCTGTGCCACAGGAACAGCAGCAGGGCCGCCCCGTGCTTGTCAAGGGGCTGCATATCACTGGGGCGCTTATTAATGCATGAAGGGGTTCTCCCCAACCCCCTTCCTAGTTTGACTGGGGTGTGAGGAGGAGGTAAGCATCAAATTCACAACATTTTAACTTGAAATCTGTGACCAGCGATTTGTTTTCCCTCCCTATTATTTTCAGAAATATTTTTAAATGCCTATGTGAATATCCACACAGGCCTAGTTAACGTCAAAGGGCAGAAGTCTAAGGTACAGGTTTTTGTGATCAGGGACCCACAGACCCCAACAGGTTTCGCCCACCAAAGAAAAATGAAGTAAACGACTGTGACTGGACATTTCATACAAAAGAAAATAAAACGATCATACAAAAAAAATACAATGAAATGGCATCACCTAGCCAAACATATATAAATCCCCCTCCCCAGAAAAGAGCAGTCTGTAGCACAATTACCAGTCTAGGCACTGGCTGCAGGTTATCATTCCAACATAACACTTGAGCTTAACTGGTTCTGTTTACTTCCTTCTCCCAGGTCAGATGTTGATGCTTCAAAGAGACCTTGAAAATCTTCAGGTCCAGGACCTCCAACTTCAGACTTTTACAATGAAAAGGACCCCCCCAACCATCAACTGTGGAGCTCGTTGTCTTTGGTGCACGTCTCTGTCTCGGGGTGTGTGTCACAGGTGAGAGAGCGGGATTTGAAGTTCATGGGCACTGCAGTGGCTCAGCACTGACAAATGCTTCCTGTCCATCAGGGCTGCGCCACTCCAGTCCTGGAAATCTGTGCAGGATTTCACCCCACCCGAGCTCTTACCTAACTGATTGGATCATTGGCTTAACAGGACCAGTTTAACACCTTTCCCCAGTTCTGTAGATACTGGAGATACAAGACCTTAAAGACCTGCTGGACTGCGGCCTCCCAGGACTGGAGTTGTGCACAGGAGGGCGGAAGGATGGGAAATGGGGGTCAGGGGTCAGGGGTGAGCACTGGGCTGGTGACAGTGGCTTTGGTAGCTGCGGGGGCGATGAAGAGGGATGGGGATGATGGGGTGTTAGGGATTTGAGGTGATCTTTATTTTATGACCTTTTTCTCCTTCCTTCAAAATTCCTGAAGTTGGATGGTCTGATTTTCATTTCAGCGAACTCGATGGAGTGCTCGTGGCCTTTCCAGTGGAACCAGTTGACACCCTGAGAGGTTAAATAGAAACAAGGTGAGCCCACAAAAGATGCTGTAAGTTCTAAACTTCCACTGGTTACTGTACAGACTTACATCTGCCTTCACTGAAACAGATATACTGTGTGATACAGGGTATGACTAATAATTAACTACATTTACTGAAGGTTCAGATTATACTGCTCATTTTTAAAGGAGAACTGCAAGTCCTGTTTTCTCAGACCACTTATTAAATCTTGGTAACAAATATTGAATGAATAATGAATATAATAGAACACACTAATTCATTGACATTGTAGAAAAAAACATCTTGAAGTCAAAAGCAATATTTCTATTGGATTAAAAGAGCTGTATTCACACGCCCGCATGTTTACAGGGCCAAGGGCTGCTTCGCCTCACAGGAGATTTTTTTTTTGCCTTACCTATGCTGCACATACCTGAAATCTCATCTAGTTTGTGATGTCAATTGGAGGGTTTTACAGGTTGCTCTGTACATTTTACCGGGACTGACTATTCGGCAAAATACTAATTTTGAATATTTCCATCTAAATAGGAAGACAACTTGACTGAGCGGAGTTCGCTCACCTTGCTGTGACTGTTGTCGCCGTATCTGCCCATGAGGTTGACGCGGTGGCAGTTCTTGTACCAGAAGGCGCCCTTGTAGGACAGAGCACAGTTGGTGACCGCGATGTCGTTGTCATTGTCGTAGGTGGAGAAGGGCCGGCCCTGGTGGTAGGTCATGGAGTCCCCTGAGAGAGAGAGAGAGAGGAGAGGGTTGAGACTGATACTCATCTCCACACAAGCATCTCTATTATTTCTTAGGCAGGTGCCTGCATCCAGGGTGCTTTGTAGAAGTTAGAATTAAAAGGTAAATCTGTTTGAGAACAGCCCTGGCCTTCCTAGAGCATCACTGGGGTAACAGGAGGAAGCCAGTCGCACTGGTTTAGGTCTCTGAAGAAAGGCTGTGAACGAGAGGCTGTTCAGCCCATCAGGCTCAACCTGTGATGGAGCAGCTCAGTGACTGAAATAGGGGTGGGGCAGGAAAGCCTGCTGCAGCCACCCTCTGTGTGCACAGAAGCATTTCCTACTCCCCATCCCAAGTTAATTCCCTCTTAGTGACTCGGAAATAATTCAGAGTCCTTATTTCACTACCGAGTGCGATGTAGTCCCTTGGGTTTATACCTACACCCTGCAGCAGGGGGAGCACTTTCCACCACAGTATTACAAATCACAAGCCCTCAGGGGAGAATAAAGTGTCACACGTGAACTCACTGGCTGCCCAGACTGCTGTAGCGACTGTCCTAGCAGAGACATGGTGCACAGAGGAGGCAACAGTCAGAGCCTCCAGCCCAGGCACACCCAGTCAGTGTGCCTTCTTTTCGGTCTCATTTAATGAACAACATGTCAATAAAAAGAGCATTCAATTAAATATACAGCTGTTAATAAAGGTTTTTTAGTGTGTGGGTTTTTGTTTTCTCCCCCTACTACAGCTCTAAGTTAATGGAATTAATCACTTCCAGTATGTCAGGCTCCAGCCCCTGAGTAACAAGACTAAATATTCACCACCTGACCCCAAGTCAAAATGTGTCTGGTATGGCAGGGTAAAGGGTGAGCTAATCTGTACCCTGGACATGTACACAAGCTGCCTACCTGCTGTGCCGCTGTAGCTCCCCACGTACACCTTGTAGCGGCTGCGCGGCTCGGAGACGCTGAACTTGTCGTACTGGGCATAGGCGGTCTCGCCCTGGTCCCGCAGGTCCACGCGCAGCTCGTACTGGCCACTCGCCGTGATCTTGTGGAGGTTGCTGAGGCCTGAGGGGACAGCAGTCTGTATCAGCTCGGCCAGTCTGGGGTCTTTCTGACCTCACTGCCTTCCTCTAGAGTGGCTTCAGCAGTAGTACAGTATAAACTGGACACATTTATTTCCATTACTTTATACATATTTCATTGTCACTAATAATTTTCTTCTCTCACATAACTCCTGATATGAAACCATTAAAAGTCTTGAAATTTAATACATATTGAACTGGTGCCTTTTCTCCAGTTTAGTCTATGTGCAAACTACCTACAACTGTTCTGTCTGCAAGTAGATGCTTGTTAATCCTGTGGCATCGCGAGTCATGTGACTCCTTCCTCGCCCCAACCTGTACCCCCTACCCTGCTGTCCTGGGGAGCGAGAAGAGGAATAGCAGATCCTACCAAGCCAGAACTCGTCGTTCATGTCTCCAAAGCCAGCCGTGTAGTTCCTCCAGTTCCTGAAGAACTCCAGGTTACCACTCTGACGCTTCAGGAACACCTGCAACAGGGTGCAGGACACAACATCAGCATTCAAAGACAAAGGAGAAATTCACAGGGAAATATTAACTGAAGCAACATGGTGATAATTTCTTGAAGAACCTAATTTTTCTTTTAGACATTTACCTAGTGCTAGTGCAAAGTTAATTATTTTAAATCTGCATAGAATCAAAATAATAGTCAGCATAAACACATTTGGATACAATTAACTTTTATGTGTTTTTATATATCTTAAGAAGCATGCAATCTTGATGCTAAGTAATGTATTAATGTAAGCAGGTGTTCTGGTCGGCCCTGAACCTCTGCTGCAGCACTTACAATCCAGCCCCCGCCATCCGTGGTCATATCGCAGTACACCTGCAGCGGCTGCCTCTCGTCTCCGCCCAGGTAGATGGTGTAGAGCCCGGAGGTGGTGTCTCCGTTGAGCAGGGCCTGCGAGCAGTCCTTGGGGTGCCTGTACAGCATTCCAACTGCACAGGGGGAGACAGAGGGGTCACTGCCAGGAGGGGTCATCAAAAACCGATGCACGAGGGCTGCCCTGGCCTGACTCACAAAAAATACTCTCTGCATGGAACTAGACAACAGAATATTGCTGGATAATCTGAAATAAACACCAACCATTCCCTCGTTACACCACAGGTCCATTTTGATGTAAGTGAAACTGACCTAGTCCAAGACTGAAAATGATGAGCACCTAACAGCCCAGGCTAGAAAGTCCAGGAGTGCATGGAGCTAGGGGGGACAGTGGGGGGGACTCACTGGTGGTGAAGACAGTGTAGATTAAAGGGCTGCGCTCCGGCCCAGAGATGGCCTGCAGACTGACGGTGTACTGTGTGGACGCACTCAGCTGGGCCATGTTGTAGGAGGTGGTGGTGGGGCCCAGGACAACTTCCTATTTGGAGAGGAGAGAGAAGCAAAAGATAAATACTTGGACATTTCATTTTTTTGTGAGGCACTCTGAATCTTGTTGAGCACATTACCAACATCCCTGTGAAACTCTAGCAATACAATAAAATAAATCTTGATTCATGGTGCTCTTGCTGTCACACCTATGTTGGACACTGTACAGAGCTGTCTTGGCAACACTTTCCTCAGTGCTGGAGGAAAAATTGAGCTGTGTATAAGTCCGTTATGTCCACTGCATAGTGAAGGGGTTGCTCGTACCCTGACTTGGCCGTCTGAGGACTCGAAGCGCAGGATGTAGCCGGTGATGGTGGCTCGGGGCGGTCTCCATGTCAGCACGGCGCTGTCTGTCTGCACGCTGCTGGAGGTCAGATCTCGAGGGGCGTCCAGGGCTGAGGGCACAGAGGACAGGACTGAGAGGAGCAGAGGCAGCAGTGGGAGCCCTGCAGTATTCATCACAGGAATGGTAATTCCTTTTGCAGAATGAACTGTGATACAGAGGCCCTGGAAGTATCAGGTTCCAGCAGTGCCCCAGTCCCTTGTTCAGACAGAGTGCTGAGATAATCAACCTGCAATCGCTGCACAGTGAGATTGGAGTACACCAGTCTCACTCCTCACAGCTGGTACCAGACTCGTCACTGAACTGGTATTTTGCCCATTAGACCTTTTTTCGTGTGTATTTCTTTTGGATACATCACATTGCCCCTTGAGAAAAACACAAAGCTGAATACAACTTAAAAAAGGTGTTCCAGCACAATGATAGCTCAGCTATAAAGGAAACAGGACGCAGGGAATGTGAGGACAAGGTCTAGCAGAGTCATGACACTTAGTGAGAGTGACGGCACTATGGAAGAAATGATCACAGACATCCTCCCAGAGCCAGCTAGATTAGAGCAGATCCTCAAAACCACAGAGAATTAGGACGGCCTCACTCTAGCTGCACCGCAGTTTCCGGGCCCAGGGTCCAGAACCGCAGGCAGATGGAGAAAAAGCAACTGTCTAACGATCAAGAGCTCAGCTTCGATGTACCACAGTGCAGCAGGGGCCCTGCCAATGTCTATGCATGTGTGTGGCAGTGGGGGGTGCTCACCGGTGGTGAACTCGGTGGTGGTGGCAGCACTCTGCTGGCTGCCCCTCACGGCGTAGACCCGGACAGTGTAGAGGGTGGCAGGGTGCAGGCTGCTCATGTGAAACTCCACGGTGTTGCCAGACACTCTCTCCACCACAGGGGCCACTGCGGAGAAATGAGATGTTAAACACTGAACCCTGGCCGGCGCCAAGACACTAAACTCACCACACGTTCTGACTTCTTACAATGGTGGGTTTAACTCTTCCAACGAGGCATCTGTGATTTTTGAGGCTCCAGAGATGGAGTTATGGACAGGAATTGACTTACAGTCTGTCATGTGAATGTGACACTAATTGCAAAATCTTCAGGCACAGAAGAAATAGTTCAGAATTTAGAAGCCAATGAGTCTCAATCAGGAAAGTCTCCACAAAACTTCAACCTTGATAAATGTATCATCCAGGCACAATTTAAAGCCCCTATGATTTGGTACACTTTTTTCTGGCTCTGAGGCCCAGAATTGAATGACTTACAAAATATCGTGTGCAAATTTTCACCCTGAATGCACTTCAGATTAGCCTGCAGCAGCAGACAAGTTACACTCCTGGCTCTGAGCTGCAGTAAAGACTCTAGTGCCCAGCTCTAGAGCAGGAATATTACACAAGAACACAGCATCCTGTCCCTCCAGACGGTAGGTCCCCTGGTGCTGCTATTTAAACCCCCTTTGAGAGCTGGCCACAAGAGCATGAAGCAGTGCAGTACAGGCAGCGCGGGGCTGGAGGGGTACCGTTGTCAGCGCTGTATGTGATGACGTATCCCTCCACGGTGGCGATGGCTGGCTGCCACAGCAGCAGACCCTCCGAGTCGGTGATGTTGATGGCAGTGAGGCCGCGGGGTTTGTCCAGAGCTGGTGGGGAAGAAGGGCACGATCAAGCTCGATGCGCTGTGCTTCAGTATCACTCACCACGTGCAATAATAATTATTAATATATAATTACACTTGTATAGAGTTATTCTAGACACCCCACTCAAAGCGCTTTACAGGTAATGGGGATCCCCTCCACCACCACCAGTGTGCAGCCCCACCTGGATGATGCGCCAGTCCGCTCCCCACACACCAGCTCTCAGTGGGGAGGAGAGCAGGGTGATGGAGCCAGTTCAGAGATGGGGGTTATTAGGAGGCCATGATGGGTAAAGGCCAATGGGAAATTTGGCCAGGACGCCGGAGTTACACCCCTACTCTTTTCGAGAAACACCCTGGAATTTTCAATGACCACAGAGTCGGAACCTCAGTTTTACATCTCACTCACAGGCCGGTGCTTTTTTACAGTCTAGTGTCCCTGTCACTACACTGGGGCATTAGGACACACACAGACTGCAGGGTGAGCGCCCCCTGCTGGCCCCACCAACACCTCTTCCAGCAGGAACCTGAGTTTTTCCCAGGAGGTCTCCCTCCAGGTACTGACCAGGCTCACACCTGCTGTGCTTCAGTGGGCTGCAAGTTGTGGGTTGTGGGGTGATATGATATGGCAATTTCAGTATCAGTTCTCATCTCAGCTTGACTAAAAAACATGAGAAACTAGCAAATACAAGAACCATTCAAAAACATGCCCACTCCCCAGCTGGCTGAGGGCTGCGTGTGACTGACCCGTGGTGACCACGTCAGAGGCAGGGTCACTCTCCTCCAGCCCCTTGACTGAGATGATGGTGACTTCATAGGTCACACCGGGGGTCAGCTTGGCCAGGACAGTTTTTGAGCTGGATCCGTCCACTGTCACTGTCTGGGGGGTTCCTGAGTGTGGAATACAAAGAAATGCAATGAGAGAGATTTCTGTACAGAGTGACTAGTAACTATACTAATACGAAGCAGAGAAATACAAATGCAAATAGCTACATTAAAATACAACATGATGCTTACAGCTTTCAGACAAAAACATATTACCTTGTTTTTCATAAGCGGATCTTATGTGTGCTGCACGTATCCTGTACCTACACTAACACAGAGCAGTACTGTCCACACTATAGCCTTTACACACCACTAGGGGGCAGCCGTGCCCACTGATACAGGAGCTACGCTCCCTGTGAGCTACAGGGAGATGAACTGAGAAAAGAAGGATTATATATATTGAGATCTCCAGGATCTTTCCAGATGTTATTCATTTAAGTGTTCACGGGAAACTCTAGGGTTTGCAGTGATGCTCCTCACATCTGCAGTTCACACTGCTTACAAAGCCGTCACCTCTTCTCCTGGGTGACCGTCGCCTCCAGGAACTGAGCATCTTTTCACCAACTCACTGGGGTTTTATCTGCTTGCTAATTGTACAAGACTGTAGTCCCAATTAAGGTAAGTGACTCGGATAGGGATGATATGGGCTTTTAAGACAATTGCATGATGCAAAATAACTCCAGTCCATTATCTGTATCCCTACTCCTGTGCCTGGTACTGTCGGGGCACTGACCTCCCTGTGTGGGCACGTAGGAGACTCGGTAGCTGTCCACCCGGGTGCGAGGGACGGTCCAGTGCACAGTGGCCGTGGTGTCCGTCACATCAGAGAAACGCAGGCCCTTCGGGGCTCCCAGGCCTGAGGACACATTCGGAGAAAGACAGACCAGACAAGACAGAAGAGAAAGGAGAGAATCAATAATCGGGTCTGCAGCTTGGCAGGGCATTCTGGAGCCTGTTTTTCCGCCACCCCCTTCCGAAACGCGGCTCCTCGCGGCATTTGTGAAGGACCCCCCTTTCCGAGAAGCCAGTAATGCTGTCCTGCAGAAAAAGGAAGGGTCTGAGCGCACCAGGACTCATTGCGGACACTTGTGGAATGGTGAGGGTCACTGACCCCCCTTCCTTTTCAACAGTGTGGAGAAACGGCAGCACAGTCTTAGAACCAGAGCAAAGAGAGAAAGACACAGCAAACCCCCCTCCTGGCAGCAGAGCGTGTCCTTTTCAGACTCTTCACTGCAGCTCAAAAGGACTCTCAGAGTCTCGTAAGACTCCCTGAAAGCAGAAACCCAGTCCGAAACCAAGATAAATCAAAGCCATGAGAACAGTGGGAGATGAGGGAGAGCAGAGCAGAGCCACAAACTGCAGACCAGGGAGAAACAGGAAGAACGTCAAAAAGGCATCCACCTCAACTTCCAGCATCACTCGAAAAGAAAACTCAGCTCTTTAAGGCGTGCAAGAGAAGGTTCTGGGGGATGAGACACACACAAGCAAAATCTTCCCCTTGAGAAAATTATCGGGTCTTTGCTTTTTTTCAAAACTATGCAGCAGAGGTGAGGAGTCACAAAAATGTAGGGCAGAAAAGAAAGCATGCTGTAAGAAGAGATGACAAGCTACTCTCTTGAGAATTACTCCCTAGAAGGGAGTACTGGCTAATGAGTTATTTCAGGCCCCTTTGGAGCAACAGCTGCTTTCTGCTGGACAGATATTCGCAGACACGGATGACAGCCAGGCAGTCAAACTGACTTATGTGCACAGAGAAGGTGTAGTGACAATGATATGATGGCTGCTGGCATATCCCCAACAGTAGCTGTGAATGTCAGATTAAGAAAATCGATAAGACACACCGATAAGAAAACAAGAGCAATTGTTATTCAGATTGCTAGTGACAACCCAGCCGCTTCTAAATCTTTCAGCTCAACATTAGCTCCTTTTGCTTGTATACTCTCAGCTCATCACTTTCAGCAAAGCTTTCTCCTTTTATTAAAGTGTTTATACCATGTACCTTACTTCTCACTGGCAAAAGGTTAATGTTCTACTTGGGGTAAAGCCAACAGAGAGCTTTGAATTGAACTCAGAAATGCTTGTTTGGCCCACTTTAGGTCTGTCTCGATTACACTACTGAAGACGAGGATGAACAGTCACTCCATTCCCCTGAAAGGCATTCACAGATATACAGGGGCAGATGCTCAAGGTAAAAAAAGAAAAAGTTAACTATTCATATCCTGTGCCTCTGCCCCTCTGGGCACATTGTTTGTGATTTCATCACAACACTGATGCAAGATGAGGATTTGTATGTCAAGCCGACTTAAAATACACTTTTTATCTTGCACCAAGTACTTTGAACTTAGTCATAACGCAGTTGAAGGCCTCAAAAACCCAGAACAGCTGGGAGGAAACAATGAGTACAGCCCGGTGTCTTGTTAAATAATGGGAAGGTATGAAAGCATGGGAGATGTAAAATGGCTGCTGATGACTGGAAGTACCTCACAGACACGCCTTCTCATGCTCCTCTGGATCGAAGCCAAGACTGCGACAGCACGGTACGGACAAGAGCTTTTGAGAGATTAGAAATGGCAACAGCGGGGAGAGACGGCTCCTCTGTTCCCGTTCACCAGCGCAGAGGGGCGCGGGGGCGCTGCCGGCTGCTGGGAGAAGTACCTGTTCGGGCCACACCATGAATGGGCTGCGAGCGCCTCCCCAGGGCCACGCCATACAGCTCGATTTCGTACTCGGTGCCCCCCGAGAGGCCCGTTACGTCTCTGGTTCTCTCCTCCCCGGAGGCGCTCAGCTCCTGCGGGTGCGCCTGCTTTCTGGAGTCCCTAACTTTAATAATGAACCTATCGAAGACGTCCTCGTCCGCGGTCCAGGAGAGGCGGAAGCTGTCTGAAGTCACGTCGGAGACGAGGAGGTGGTCCACTTCGGGCTCCGCCTCTGGACGACAAGGGAAGCAAGAGGGGTGTTTTTTTTTTTGGTAGATGTTTTTGTTTTGGTTGTTGAGGGCCATTCCAAAGGATGATGATGGTGGTGGTGGTGGTGATGATGGAGATGTAATGACCATTGGCTCTCAGTTATTGACCAGCACGCAGGGGCGGCTGGTCGCAGTTAGCACAGGGAAGAAAGCTGGTTAATGGAGCCTCGACTTCGTCACAATGCATTAACACATTAGCAGAGGAACAGGGGAGCGAGTAAGGCATCACAGTGCATTTGATATTTTTCCCAATAAGGCACACCAAGTTCTCAGTAGAATGTAAACACATAGACAGTCTTCGTTTTATCGGGATGTTTCTGTCTTGGATGTAAAAAACGCTCTGGAACTGTGCCTGTCTGAAACCAGGGCCTAATTCCTGCACTTCAGTAGCAGATGCTCAGTTTGAGCCTGACAAGTGCTGTACACCGAATGCAGCTGTGTCCTCTCTGTCTCTTAACACATTCTGACTTTTTCTCAAAATTGCTTCTGAGAAAAAACAGTGTGAAACCTCCACCCCCATGCATCTGGGCATTAAAATAAAATAAATAGAAAAACAGTTAACACAAAAATTATCCCAAGCAGAAAGTGTAAGTTCATGCTTCAGGTGCACATTACTGTGTTTCCCTCTTTACAGTCAACAACAGACTGATCATGGTGGCAGTCAAGAGACAACTTCAATACAGCCCTGGACGCCCTGTGAGGAGGCAAGGGATCGAGTTACTGTGGATTCTAGATGAGTCTACACTGATGATCCAAAGGAAAACACAGCAAAAATATGTCAAACGCGTCGCTTGGCCATATTTGAATGGGAGAAGGAAAAGAGCAGCATGGCATTTCTGAAAGAAATTGCAAGACAGTACAAGCAAAATCTGTAAAAAAAAAAAAAAAACTAGAGGAGGAAAAAATCCAAATGTTCAAGGAAGGAGAGAGCGTAGGAGGTAGACCAGAGTGTTGGGGGCTCTCCAGCAACGGGTGCAAAATGCCAGGCCTGCTGCCAAATCGCTGTCTCCCCATCCTGTCAGCATGTGGCCAGCATGCGTAAAGAAAAAGGGACGGGCAATTGCGTATCTAACTTACTGTAGATGTTTCCAAATTTCATGTTTAAAAGCCAATCCCCATCATAAACGGACTTTCCCTCTTCCACATATTCCATGTGTACTTAAAGGCTTCCAGTTTTTCAGGCTCAGCCCCGTTGCCCGTTTGTGCTTGTGGCAGCTGTGCACAGCTGCTGGAGAGCCCAGGCTGCGGACTGCAGGTGTGGTGTGTGTGTGTGTACCTGTCACAGCCACTGCTGTCACCGGCCTGGAGCGCAGCCCGGACCGAGCCAGGCCCGTGAGGCTGATCTCATAGCCTATGCCAGTGATCAGCCCAGACACATCCCAGGACCGCTGGCTGCCCGGCACCCTGAACTCCTGGGGCTCCAGCAGCCGGCCCAAGTCCGTGACCACCATGAAAAAGTGGTCAAACCCATCGGGCCGGCTCCCGTTCCTCGCTGTCCAGGACACCCGGAACCCGTACGGGTTCACGTCCGAAATGTTTAGGTTTTCCACTTTGGGCAACTCCGCTATGGGAACGGCAGGGATTGTTTTGGGTTTTTTTTTAGGAAAGGGGGAGAAACAAGCGCATGTGAGAACACAGATTGAGGAATGCAGTGATTGCAAAACACGCATACAGCAAGGGACCTATCCTGTTTCGACTACTGCAAGAGAATCACTTCCCTATCGTGAGGACAAGATCGCGCAGCTCTGTGTTAACCAAACTCTGTGAGCATTACATGAATAATTAAAATTATATGCAAAGACACATGTGAAGAAGATGCACATGTGTTCATGACGTGTGTTCATGCATGTCTCTATGCGACTATGTGCCAAGATGTGCAACTACACAGAAAATCATGATAATACAAACCACACCAGCTCTGTAAAAACACAGAACACCACCCTGGGGCAGCATGGCCTCACACTTCATCTCGGGCCCACACGTGGGTAATACACAGGCTGGAATGCAGGGCTCTGTGTTCAACAAGATGGTCTTCAGGCTCCGAATGCTCTTTATTTTTCCAGAACACCTCTGTCCTATTGCAAATTTTGCTCTCATAAACTAGGCAAGGGTACGAGTCCTGGGTTTTGCTGGGGTTTTTTTTTCTGGGAAGCTTACTCCTGCATCTGTTCTAAACTGTGTAGCAAACCTAAACAGTCATGTCAACAAAACAAACAATGGCATAAATAAACCAATCATTTAAAAAAAGAACAATGTTCACATTACCTAAACATACGGAAAGAATACATTCTACAGTATTACTACAGTACCAAACTGTCACCACCTCTCAGGCCCTAGAATGCCTGGAATGAAAGCATGGAAAAGCATGTGAGAGGCAGCCCACAGGCCTCATGACAGCACTGCGGTACCCAGAGATGCCAACTGACAGGCTAGAGACTTCTAGGAATTCATTACTGTTAATAATATCATTGTGAGACTGGTACTTCCTATAGCCCCCCCCAAAATGTGGCTGTTTTCAAAGCAAAGCAAAGGAGTGAAAAGGCGATAAAACGTTAAGGCACTAATTAGAGGCAAGCCCCGGGAACGTCTTCGATCCCGAGGACCAGAGCTGGAGATGCCGACCGGCCTGGAGAGGCTGACAAGAATGTGCTGAAGCGGCAGGAATGGAGCTGCGGTCTCTAGCCGGCTAGAGAGAGAGAAAGTGCTCCTTTGCTGGGGTCTGCTGTTGGCATGTCCACAATGAAATCCATCGAAGACGCATCCCAGTGGGATAGAAGAAAATTTGGCATGTGAGGGCTTCACAGGGACTCTGCAAAATTGAGGTGGGCTACCACAAAATTTAAGCTGACACTGAAACTGCAGAGTGATTGTTCTAAAAACAGGGCTGGAGTGAATATTTCTACCAAACCACGGACAGAGTTCTCGGAAAAAAATACATAAGGAGAGTAATATTGCCGCAGGGTAAACATGTCCTCAACAAAGCTCTTTTCACTCATAGTCAAAATCCATCTTTCTCTGATGGAGATCTCCCTGACCACTAACAGGTTCTTTTTTTTAACCCGAAGCTTGTGCAACGGGAGAGCCTCTCGGGGCACTGCAGCAGCCGGGATCGGCCGCGCTGTGAGCAGGGTGGAGGAAGCCTCCAGGGCTGTCGCTTCTCATTAGCAGCGCTCTGACTCCGCCAGGCTGGCGCAGGAAAACGGACCCGAGTGCTGACACGAAGCAGCTGCAGACCCGCTCCCTCGTGGCTGACCCGCACGCAGAACCCACACCCCCGGAGCGCGGGGGGGGGGGGCTGACTGGCGTCGAAGGCTCTCCCGAGATCAAACCCTCAGCTGAAGACAAGTTCAGCCCAAATGGGGCAATATAATCTAAAGTGAAATAGGGTTAATACAATCTTTTAACACTGTTAATCTTTGAGCACCACTACTGGCAAAACACATCTTTGAGCTTTGGCACTCTGTTACTACAGTGAAGGCTGTTTCTTCCTCGTCTCCCCGTTGAGCCTGTCCTGACTCGCCAGTGGGCAGGACTGACTGCTGCCCTGAGAAGTGCTGCCACCCACTGGCCACCAAACAAAAGAGCACCGACTCTGGAAAATCAAAATGCTGCTTAACAAAAAAAAGTGTGCGGTGAAGTGAAGGCGCAGTGGTTTTCGCCAACAGCAGAGGTCCCTAAGATTGGGCTTCCTGGAATTATCTGCTGAAGAATGTGACAAGACTCATCGAGCTAGCTCCCCACTGGGCATACAAAAGGCAGGCATAGGGTGATGAGCACATTGGAGTCCACAGAGGTTTCCTCAGCATCTTGAGAACAAGGTGCATGCGTGTTTGAGGATGAAGGGAACCTAGGCGCTGAGAAACAGAGACCGGCAGCACATCCCAAAGAACCCCTACAAAGCAGCAGAGTTCAAGCAAGCCGAGATGGGGGGGGGGACTTTTTTCCCTCCTCTTGATGGTTAACTATTAGAAATGTGGAAATCTGCAATGTATGCACAGAAGGCGAGCCTTGGTTTTCAGCAAAACGGGTAGGATGCAATTGCCATGCATTTATGCATAAACTTTCCCAGCTCCAGAGTGAAAATCACCAGTCAAGCAAAAGACTGAAAGGCCTCCTCTCGGTCTTAACCCTCCCTATGTCCTCCTGTCCTTCTGTTCTCACGCTGCGCACCCTGCTGCGCCGGAGCACCGAGCTGCACGGCCGCACGTGCTGATGAGAGTCGCGGGTGAGTTACGCAGTACCTGTCACAGCGAAGGCAGACAGCGCAGCTCTGCGCCGCCCCAGGGCCAGGCCATGCAGGGTAATGTTATAGCCCGTGGCATCCACCAGGTCAGTGACCCCGGCGCTGCGGGCCTCTCCAGCCACAGTGAGCTCCACGGGGTCGTACAGAGAGTCGGCGTCTGTGACACGGATGACAAAGCCCTCAAACGTCCCTGCAGTCGTGCTCCAGGTCAGAGTGAAGGAGTCTGGGCTTATATCTGACACGGCTAGGGTGCCCAGCTGAGGCTCTGGCTCTGAGTGAAAGAAAATCAATTTGTTTTTCGTTCTTTTGGGTTGGGAAGGGCGGCTTAGGGTAGGCAGAAAAATATTTCAAGTATTTCTCTTCAGAGCAATCAACAAAAACACACGAGAAATTAATTTTAAAAATCCACTGAAATGTAAATGTTTTAAACCAAAACTCTCTCGCCAATTCACTGCAGCTTTGTTCTGAAAAGGGAAATGATTTAGCAAAAACAGGCTGCTTAAATTAAAAAATGCAAAATAAATTAGAGTCAATTTTTTGTTTCTTCTTTTTTAATTCTTTAAAACTCTACCCTCTATGCCCACAGTGTGTTTTGTTAGACCAGAATCTATTGCCATGTTTGTTCTAAACAATTAACATGGGGCAGACTTCTGAAATGACTGATCATACACCCACTGACGACAAAAGGAAGAAGGTGAAATTTGATTAAAGCAATAAAAGGAGTTACTTTACCTGTAGTTGCTAAGGCCATTAAGGGCAGTGTGTTCTGGCTGCCAGAGCTGCCATACAATTTAATATTGTACTGTGTGTCGCTCTTCAGATTGGAAAGGACTGTGGAGCGCGCCCAGCTGGGCACTGTCAGCCCCCTCGCCTGTGAGGGCAAAGCAGACTCTCTGATCTCTACAACAAAGTTATCAAAAGCCCTTTCTCTCGTCGTCCAAGAGAGCAACAGGCTTTCAGAGGTAACGTTAGAAACAACTAGCCTGGCCAAGTCAGGTTCTGCAGCTACAGAGGAGAAAAGAGTCAGCATTGATTTGTAAAGACCCGTCTCAGAGCAACTGCTGCCAGCCTCCTGCACATGCAGTGCCAATCCCCCAACACAAGATGCTCCCCAGCAACTCAGTCCTCACTACTGCTCTTTGCCACCCTTAACTGCTCCCCTCCCCCCCCACCAACGTTAAATGTCCCATTCCCCAGTAGGACAACCACAGAGTTTCACAGTGCAGACTGCACACTTAGCAGGTGCCATCGTGCACTGCCACAGCAGGAGGAAATTACTGAAAATTGAGGACATCTAGCAGGAGTTTTTGATGGGGATCAATGGATTAAAAATAAACTACAGAGGCAATTAGGGCAAGCCTACACGCTTACATACTAGTTAAGGATATACACACCATGCAATAAATCTGAAACGTACACACTATGGGAACGCTTGCACATGCACATGAACGGGATATTTATACTCTGTTCTCTACATACTGATGGCTGAGTGTAAACATACCCTTAGCAAAAAGTGGTTGTTTAGGGAGATATCTTGTGTCTAATATAATAACGCTTTCCTTTTTGGAAAGCCCTGTGGAAAGCTTATTAATTCAGCCAAACTTACTCAGTATCAAGACAGGGGAAAAAAATATTAATCTGCAAGACTCCTGCTCAAGACAAAGGAGATTCTTGGCCTCTAACAGAGGATAATTGTGGAAATGAAATGTGAAATTAAAGTAAAAAATCATTAAGAGAGGTTTATGCTGATGAGCGATAATGTAAATATATATGTGTAAAAAACTGGAAAACATTTAAAAAAATTGCCAGTGCACAGCAGATTGTGAACTGCCCCCACCTTTTCCCCAGAGAAAGCTATGTCAAGACAGGCTGACAGACTATAACGAAAAGAGAGGGACAACAATACCTGTTGTGGCCACGGTACTCATCGCAGGGGTTCTGACCCCCTGCAGAACCCCATACAGGTAGGCTACATAGTCAGTGCTGGGCCGGAGCCCCGCAATATCAGTGAACAGAGCATTGTGGGACAGGTTAAATTCCATAGGCTCCGTCAGCCTGCTGGAATCTATGATCTCCAAGACAAACCCTTCAAAATCCCCTTCTGTGTCATTCCAGGAGATTCGGAAGCTTTCTGCGGTAATGTTAGACACAGACAAACTGCCAAGTGTAGGCTCCACCACTAGAGAAAGAAACAATTATTACCTTTTATAACATGTTTTGAAGACAGAAAACAGCCACTGTGAGGGCTAAGCACAGTTCAGCTCCAGAAGACTCCAGCAGGACTGCAAGCCAGCAGACATGGGATTTTGTGCAGTAAAAGAGGTACTAAATTTTAAGAGGCAATATTGGATTTGAAAGAGTTACTGTGTGCTTCAAATTGTTTATGGAAAAGTCCTCAGCATGAGAGTGAAACACTGACTCTCACTGCTCAGCCAATCATCTAACAGCTCCTTGGAGCATTCTTCATCCATTTTGGCAAGTTCGAATGACATGTTATACTATATTAATATTATTACAAACTGCTGGAAAATCTGTGATAAAGATCAAGTTCAGCAGTCGCTGCTCCTTTAAAGTGCTGTGTGTGGAATTTCCTTTTTCAAAGGTACAGTATTTACTGCAATTCTGGATTCCTGCTAACATACTCAGCACAGCCCTTGTGGGTGTACCAAGTTCAATTATAAAGCAGTTGTAGCAACAGATCGTGTTCACAGAAGTTCACAGGATATCGTGTGTTTGTAGGGCTGAGTGATGGGAAAGAGTCACTTCTGCACAATTTGTGAATGATTTTCGAGAATAAAGGCTCAGATGGAGCTGAAAAATGGGGTTTCCAAAACCCACACACAAAATACCAATGCTAAAGAATGAACTGATTTCTGATGGATATCTTAAGCTAATTTATTCAAGACAGGGAGTGCACCAACTAAATGCATTTAAATGTTTTAAAACAATTAGAGATATCTGAAAAACAGAGCAAGTTTTCGAATTTGGGAGCATTTGAGGAAGAGAGAAGCACAAAACAAGTGTTTAACGCAACAGTGTTAATTAAAGGCATAACAGACGGGCTCAAGGTAAATGTCAGCCCATGTTTGATCATTCAAAAAGCCCTTTGATTTTTCTTTGGACTTCAGAATAAAAACAACAAACAAGGAGAGTGAAACAAAATAAAGCATTCATTACAAAATTACACGTGAAGAGCAAAGAGGCAACAAAGAGGGGAGAGGGAGAGGACGAAAAGCTGGTGACGGCACGAGTGACTCGGTGGGTTGTCATTATTAGCAGCTTTTTGAGAGACGAGGGGGGGTGGTTATGGAGTGCACTGTAGTGTCAAAGCAGACAGCTCAAAAGGCTATTGGAAAATATGGCCATGGAGACATAACAGCCTGTCACTTGCAGGTAAACAGCGCGCTGAAGGATGTTGTCATGCAAGCGAAGCAGCTGCTGGTTCTTAGAATTCCTGGAACGCTGTCAGAAGCAGGAGCAGAAGCCAGACAAACAACCACCAGAACGCCAGGTGGAGGAGATCTCAGAGATGTTTTTCCCCTTGAGATCCTACACAGGCTGGAGGGATCAGGGGCTACTGTAAGCAGAAATCGGCACAGCTTTAACCTCCGGCTCCTGCAGCGCATATTTCAAAAGCGTTACAAAACACAACTTGCCAGATTTAAGACTAGGCATAGAAGGCACCACGGCAAATGTGAATCACACAAAAACAGATTTCCCTAACTATTGTTGAGCGATCTGATGGAGCTCAAAGCTGATATGACCACATGTGTGCGTTCCGAAAGAACCACCTGGTCAAGGTGAAGATGAATGAGGCTTCCCTCTAGCAGCTGTGACAAATGAGACAGGCGGTCCAGCAGGTCTTTAATTCTCATTGGCACATCAATTATTAATGATGGAACTGATGCCTTAAATCACGAGATGGGGAACAGGCGATCTCTGGCCTTCATAATTAGAAAGTGTTGGGAGATTTTCTTACTTGCTGGTCATCAAGAGATAGATGGTTTACGTCTCACCTGTCCTCTCGGTTTTTCAATTGAACTAATTGCTCGGACAGCTGCCTGAGCTCGGTCTCGGTGTGAGATGCGAGAGAGAAAAGGAAAACCTGCGGGATGGCGGGTCTGACTTGGCCACAACTTCGCCCAAAATCGACAGCATGTGCACTGAAGGACTGTCTACCTGGCTTGCTGGAAAGGTCTCAAGAAAAGTGTTAAGATGATGATGATGATGATGATGATGAAAATGACGATGGTGATGAAGAATATGGTTTAAATCAAACGCATACGCAGCATCAGTCCAGTGCAGCTGATGGAGGGTGTGGCAATGGCAATGAGGTGGGCCACCTTGGTTAAGAGATGTCTCAACAGGCAGATGGACTATCTGCAGTGTTAAGTATTTCGACCCTACTCAGTGACAGCTGCTCTCTTGCTGAAGTGGATGGATTTTTGCAATCACTGCAGCACCACGTGGGCTCACCGCAGCACCCCGCAAGGCAAGCCAGAGGCTTCATGCACTGGCCCGCGGGGCGGGAGGGGAGTCAGACAGATGGCGATGGACAGCAGTTTGTTTGTTTTTTTTATTTGAGGGATGAGAGACCCCACTTGGGGGCAAGAGAGGCGCAGTGGCTGGAGGGTGAAGTGACATGTAGGATGATGTCCTGATGAAGTTAAAAGAAAACGAAAAGATTTTTTGTTCTTAAAAAGAGAACAGCAAGGGCGTGCTCCGTGCAGCGCAGAGGAAGGACTCGGTCGTGTGAGCGAGCTGCTGCTTGACACCACAGGATCATCCGAACGGAGGGGAGAGGAGGAGAGAGCGGAGAGCGGGAGAGGAGCAGGGGTCCGACCCCTCCCCGAGGCAATACCTGGATACCTGTTCTGGCTTCTGCAAAGACAGGCGGGGTAGGGGAGCCGCGGCTCACCCCCCAAAGGGCGATATTATAAGAGGAACTGGGTTCGACCCCGGTGATGCCCAGGGACCGGGCATCACCGGACACCGTGAGGCTCTGCGGCTCAGCACCCCGCTCAGAATCTGTAACCTCAACCAGGAAGCCCTCAAAGGCCCCGTCAGCCGCTGTCCAAGACAGATTGAAGCTGTCCCAAGAAACACCTGAGACCGTTAGCGCTCCCAGCTCAGGCTTCTCCTCTGGATGACAAACAGATCAAAACCAAAATGATTAAACATGAAACAACAAATGGATTAAATTAATATAATGGATTATTAGAGGAATTTGTTTTCTTCTCAAGCCTCTGAACTGCCTAAAGCCTTCTTTAGAAACAGCTGTGCACTTCCTGAATGCTGCATCAGCTCAAAGCTCAGTTTATAGCTCCTGAGGGAGGAGGTGCAGGCAAAAAAGGCGTTAATCTGTGCTCTAAAATACAGTGCAAACCTATTAACCTCATTAAAAAACCTAATTACAAAGGCTGATTCATTTTTCTACCTTGCAAAAGCGGACATGGCAATAAAGTAGCTTTCCAAAAAAACAACTCAGAATGACAAAAACATATAGTACAAATCTGAAAACAAGACTGAGGATGAGGATGAAATGGAGGAATGGAATGGAGGGAGAGCAGAAGAGATGACTACTCTTTTCATGCCTGATAGAGTATTTGATGTGTAACACAGGCAGCAGAAGGTAAAAGGAGGTAATCAAACTCAGGCTGTTAAATGAAAAACCCTCTAGTCGTGAGATCTACACAACAAATCCCATTGAACTGCAGAAGAAGCAGACTAAGAACTCTGTTTTGGTATCAAATACCCAAACTGTAATATTTGTACAGCAAACAAGAGTGCTTTTCACACTGTCACGAAAGCAAGATGGGGGTATCGCCTCATTCGGCACTTTGTTTGCGAGTCAACATTATGAAGAGACTCAGCCATACAACTGTACTGCCATGCTCCCTCTCCCCTCAAGCATGCCTGGTACATGCAATATCCCTGATGCTCTAGAGCTGGACTGCTCTAAGCAATATCAGTGTGATTTTTACCTCCACAATGACAAGCCATTACCAACTGCTGAAGACTCCCTGGAAGGCCAAGTTTACCGTATTTAAACAACGGTCGTTAGGTTTAAACAGGAGTAGAAAAATGACGCATTCATTACAACAGTCCTCAAATTTGCTTGATTGTGCCATGCATGCTTATTCACTGCATTCCCTGCTGCTCATTTCGGAATGGGATAAGACCATACAAGGTGCATTCACTGCCAAAACATTTGGGCATGCATGATACATGTAGTACCATTCATGAAACGTCTCCCAGGTATCGTGCCATAGAAACGGCACGCCTGAGATTGGAGGCCGATCATATTACAAGAAGAAGGAAATGAGAGGAAGAAGTTTTAATGGGTGTGGAAATGAAACCTGGGACCATGGACAAATACCTGTGTTGGCAATAGCCTTGAGAGGCATTGACCTCTCTCCTTGGGCAATTCCATACAGAGAAATCTCATAAAGCGTGCCAGGAGACAAGCCTTCCAGGTCAGCACGGTGGGCATCTCCTGGAATCGTTATCTGATTAAGCTTGTCAGGCTCTGTCATGTCTTTCAGCTCTACAAGGAAGCTATCAAAGGTTCTGCCAGAAACCGCCCAAGACAGGCCCAGGCTAGTATGGGTCACCTTTGTGACATTGAGGTCCCCAGTGAGCTCCGAGCTGGAACTCACAGGCTCTGTCCCAGACTGCCACAACACAGCCTCTGTTGGTGGCAGTTCTGTTTTAAGAGAAACATGAGGGGTGACTGTTGGGTGGCTCAGCCAGCTGGGAGCTAAAGTCTTAGCACTCATGTCTGTCAATGGGCCTGCATCCACCGACGCTGGAGTGGGCTTGGACACTAGACAAAAGTACATTCAAACATGTTAATCAGTAGCTTCTGTGGGAAGAAGACAAAGAGGAAATCAGGTTAACTGCAGAAAAACGCTGCATTGTTTGTCGTTTTCAGAAAACTAGGGGAAGAAACAAGCAACGTTGTTTACATGAGACAGGAACAAACGAAAGCTTCAAGATTATGGATTGAAGTGAGGCGAGCAGAGCTCCCTTTCCAAGAGTCATCGCTCAAGTCTGCAACTGTTTCATGCAAAAATCGTTCAGGAAGTCACTCAGCCTCATGTGTTTTGAGTTGTTCACGACATCTCTTCAATGAAGAATACAAGAAAATGGACAGAAGTACCTCTCTGTGACCTGAGATCAGAACATGTGCAGCATTCCCTCTTCAGAAATGAAACAGGTCTTGGGAACGACCCAGTTTACACTGCAACACCTATCGTCCCGTAGGGGACACCCTCATGCTGCTAATTCATCTGCTCCAGTAGCGTGGGCATTAATGGCCCTGAGCAAGCCATTAATTTTTTGAAGGTTCCGTATAGTCTGCCTGAGCAGAATGTACACAGTACACTTCAAAATCATGATGAAGCCATGCAATGCGATCCAACCTTAATCTGAACACCCGAGCAGTGTTTGCATTCATGCGAGAGGCAGGTAGCACAAGATGCACAAATAGGCTACCATTATCCTCTTCTGATGCACACTCAAGTGGTAAATGGTATGTAAATGGAATGGCAAACAATGAGCATGAAATAAATGAACTATGTTGGCCTCAGCCTCCAGAAGCGAATAGTTGCTTATAATAGCTGTAATGGGGGAGGATAACGATGCAGGAAATTAGTTCTAATTTTATACGAGGGCTTCATTATATTCCATCGCAGCTGAATCTAAAGCAATTTTGCTAATTGAGGCTCTTACTATGAAGCATACCAGCTCCATTCTGATATGCGAGTACAGAAAAACCCATCCATCCATTACTGAAAACCCTCTTATTACTGGTGAGGGTTGTGGCAACCTGAAGCCCATCGTGGAGGCACAGGGCACAAAGGAGAACTACACCCTGGACAGGACGCTCGTCGTTCACATGGGATGTATGGGACAATTTACAGGTGCTAAGAAACCTAATTAGGGGGCTTTAAAAGGGTGACAGAAACATACAATTATGGGGGACAATATGCAAACTCGCAGGGAAAGTGCCCCAGTCTGGAAATGAACTGGAAATGAGGACCCAAGAGCTGTGAGGCAACAGCGACTCCAACCACGACCCACCAAATGTCACCCTACAGCAGTTTTCAGCTTTTCTTGTGAATGTCTTTTATTTCAATGTCTACTGTACATCCTTCGCAGAGTATGGTCCCTTGTGATGGCGCCACACTGTCCCATGACCAGTAAGTGTTTTCTTAGATGACAGCGTCTAGCTACTAACTGCATAACTCTCTTAACCAGACTTACACTTTTTTTTTACGTTTCTGAAGTACAGAACTGGAGACTGAAATTGTTTGTTCTTCACTTGCTACTGTACTGCTGTAGTCAAGGAAGAGGTTGGTGCTCTCCCATTTTCAACCATGACTAAGCAACTTTCTCTGGTTGTCCAGGCCTGGCCTTTCCAGCATGCATATGGAGATGTGATGAGGTGATGGGGTGATGATGACGGGGTGAATCTTCTTGGGCATGCAAACCACAGATTCTCTCTGGTCATGCCATGCTCCTACTCTAATAAGTATGAGAGCATGAACAAAATAATGGATTCATAACATGAGCATGCAAACCCCTTTACTGCTCGGCACACTTTGAACTGTGAGATGTATAACTTTGTGAGATTACAAAAATGCACCTTTTCCTGGCTGCTAAGATTCTATTAACTGTCTTTTTGAAAGAAAGAAAAGAGCTCAGGACAGAGGAAGAAGATATGCTGGCTGTCTTGCAGCCTAAATAATATATACCTGTAACAGCAACTGCTTCAAGAGGCGAGGATCTCTGGCTAGCGGTTACTCCATAAAGCTTTACTCGATACTCTGTGGCTGCCCTCAAGCCACGGATTACAGTGCCTGTAGAATCTCCAGGGAGAAGGGTCTCCAACTTTTCCCATAATCCCACTGTGTCTCTACATTCTACAACGTAACTATCATACTCATTGTATGCCTCTGTGTCCCAAGAGAGATGAAATCCATCTGCTGTTACGCCCCAAACTTTCAGGGCCCCGATCTCATCCTCGCGCCCCATCCCAGAGAATTCGGGATCTGTGTTGTCTAGAGGCATAAAGCTAAAAACATTGTCCTCAGAAATTTGTGGTGTTGTGAGCTCTAGGATACTGTCAGCTAAATAGAATGTGAACGAAGCTACAAAAAAACACAAACAAACAACAAATTAAATTGAAAGAGAAGCTTGGTAGATTGGAACTTGTCCTGCTTACTATGGGCAAGGTCAGACTCCTGGTTACATGTCTGTGAGTCGCTGAAATAAAAGATTCTCTGGATTCATAGCTGGTAGAAAGCATTTTCTTTCTTTCAGCTCACTGCAACACATTAGCTCAAACAAACTATTACAATTCCTTAAATTACGGATTCGCTAAAGTGGGTTTTTGCCTTTGGAGTAAATTGTGCATCACTGGCTCAATGGCTGGACATACAATGAACAATTAAGAAGACCTTTTTGCAGGCCAGTTCTTCATAATACAGTATGAGTCCTTAGCCTTCACTCAACCAGGAGGTTATATCAATGCTCGGGCAATTTAAGGGGGCAATAAGAAGAGGAAAGTGAAACAGTGCAAACAAAGTACTTCCAGATTAAAAATTGCATTATTTCAACATAAAAGGAAGCAAACAGGTATAGTTTTAGAGATATAGAAGAAGTCTTGAGCATAGAATTAAGACTCTTCAATAAAAACAATAGTGCTCTACCCCTGGAGGTAACCTGCAAAGTGCATTCCAAGTTTTAAAAACCCAAAGCGATATTTTTTAAACCTCAAGGTACGTGTTCTCCTTTCGCCAGGGCAGAGAGGAGTGAAATCCCATGCTGCAGTTAAACGCCATTTGAACCATACTCTGAAATGAGCATAAATCTGGAGGGGTTTCCTATTCGGAGCTGCGAGATGTCTCAAAGCACATCCTTGCTGGGCGAAGGCGGCCAGGCGCTGCGGCCGGGCCCCCGGGCCGTCGAGCGGCGGTCCCAGCAACCCCGTGGGGCCAAACGCCGCGCTGAGCAGCACTAAGGCCCAAACCAGGAGGGTGCTTTCTCCCTCTTGCACAGTCGCCTATTGTGCCCACAAAACCCAGGCACTGTGTTCGTGCCATGTGGTGCTTAACAATAACGCTCGGGAAAAAGAAAAATAAACAAGCCGGGTTAGAAAAGTCACAGCTTTGAGCTGACATTAACGGGATACGGTATGGAACCAATTTCTTTAACAGTATAATAGTTCATCGTGGTGAAATCAGACAGGAACAGGGGAGAGGGCCACACTGCAACAATTAATGCATGAATGAGCTTTGTGTGCTGCACAGAACAGCTCTATTCTAAACACATTTGGCTACGCAGAAAAAATTCCAGAAAAGGGGATTTGGAGCCAGGACTGCTTCCCCTCATGTCGAATTAATTCTATCCAGTGTGCTTTCCAGGCGTCAGTCCTGAACACAATCTGTGCCGCTACTGATCTGGGTGGGTGGGGATAACTCCGAGGTTTGCTTTGAGTGGCAGCTCCTGAGTCTGCCTCACAGCACCCTTGGACTTGGCGGAGGGAGGGCATCCATGTTCTCTAGGAAACTCCAGCAGCCTCCAGGTTGCGTGTTCAGGTTTGGGGAGATTTGAAACCTGGACACAACACCTTTTTATCCCCTCGTCACGTTAAACTGCTTGAGGTGGTATTGATCAGTGGAACTGATGATAAGGATTGTTAATCCATAAAGACAGGCCCAAAGGCACACCACGGCACTCAAAGCCATTGAAATCCCTTGTGCCTAAGAGCACCACTAACACCAACACAGTGGTGCGCCTTCTCTTCCAAGGAGAGGAAAAAAGGCTTCTACCCCAGAGCTCTTCATCCTGTATGAAAGTTGTGTTTAGTGCACTCTGGAAGGATGAGCTACTGGGAAAACTGATGGGTGGCTGCAAGGCCCAAGGGGCGCAGAATACACCCCCCGGTCTGCCCGCAGCCAAGCACGATGGCGAGCTGCTCCTGCACCGTGGCACAGGGCCCCTGCACTTACCCGTGGAACCGGTGACAGTGGCTGCCTGGCTGCGCTGCCTGCCCCTCTCCGCGGTCAGCGTGATGGTGTAGCGCATGCCGGGATCCAGGCCGCTCAGGGTGTAGGAGCTGGCGTCGGAGGGCAGCTCCACTTCCTGTCTCTTCCCGTCCGCCGACACGTACACCAGGCGGTAGATGTCGATCTTGGCCAGGGGCCGCCTCCAGCGCAGCAAGAGCGCCCTCTCCGTCGACCCGCTCACCTCCAGGTCCAGGGGCGCATCCAGTTCTGAGGGGTGAGGGGGCACAGGGTCAGCGTACAGGAGGTGCACCCCCAGAGGTGCCTGATCGGGCAACTCAGGTCCTAATTGGCATGGCGCTGTTAATCCCCGTGTGCTGGCTAAAGTTAGGAAAATCTAGCCATTGGAATTTCCCGCTTAGTTCAACTGCACAACTGACCAATTTCACTCGATCATTCTGCACTTAATTCACTCGAGTGCTTTGTGGCGGAGCCATTCTTTTATAAAACGGCCCTACTTTGGCCTTCCTCAGGCCATTGTACTAAAGCAGCTTTTAGTTATCTATTTTGGGCTTTTCTGAAAAAGGACAAGAGAAGCTTAGACACACAATACATAGACTTCTTACTGACACAGGCCTAGTCCCCGATGTGCTTACCGGTGGCTGCGTTGATGGTAGCGGGCATGCTCTCTCTGTCCTTCTTCACAGCCGTGACACCCAGCCCGTACTCGGTGCCTGGCCTCAGGCCTTGCAAACACAAAAAGGAAAGCTGGTGAAGTCCTAGAAAATGGTACCTTGTAACACACTGTGCCCGCCGTACCATTCATATAAAAACCGCAACATGATACCTGTTGTGACAAAAATCGGAATCTTTCATTTGCAGCAAGCCATTACAAGCCTGCCTGAAATCCAAATCAAACCGGCCAATGAAAATACGGCACAGCCAAGTGCACTGTGAGTGGATGCACTTCCATGAGCTGTTTGGATCCAAGAAGAAGCCGTCAGGTTATTCTCTTAGCAGTGCAAAGAGAATTTAAGAGGTGAAGATATCTTTCTATCTATTCTTATCCAAAAGATTTTCAGTTCGATTTTTTTTAATTCTGCTAATCACAGGACAAGTTGATAGCTCAGGACGAGGTCTGCCTATATAATTCTTACTTCTTAATGGCTGAGGGAGCCATTCCACACTGCAATTAGACTTTCTGCTTAAGGCCTGCGATTTCGTGCACTTATATCATTTATTAACTTACAAGGGTTATTGTGTAGGAGCCTCAAAGCATAAAATTATACTGAATGCACAGCAAAGTCATTATCAGTAAATTCACAAGCGTGACGTTAATTACAGATGATAACATGACAAAAACGTGAGGTGAGTAGCAAAGCTTTTAAAGTTATTAGCTGAATGACCCTGCAGTGTTCTTGACAGGAACAAAGAAGAGAGTCAGACAAAGAAACTATTAACATTTAAAAATATCTTTCTTAGACGGAATAATCTCTGCATGCGTACAAAAGCACCGGCTATAAAGTGAGAAGCGCAGAAGAAATGTCAATTCTTATTGCTGTTCACAGCCTTTCCAGGTCTCTCTGAAACAAGAAGGAAAGGGCAGAAGAGCCTCCGTTAAACAGCTCCAACCTTCTCTCCTATCGCACCGCTAGAAACCAGAACTTCTGCTGCGTCACGTAAATAAAAACTACAAACAAGAAGACAGAGACCCGCTGTGACACATTATGAGCTTGCAGTTTAAAATGTAGGCATTTGGCAAAACATTCAATTAGAACCACACATCCAAAACGCATGCTTTCACGGCACCTGATCCATTCATGTAAAGCAACAAAAGTCCTATATTGTGAAAAACTGTAACTCTTACAGAACAGTTAAAAGCTGCCAATTATTCAAGAAGAAAGAAAAGGTTTCTGTTCTATTAAGGGAGCTAAAGACGGAAAGCAGAGACTAGCGGGGAACAAATTCAGACATCTGTTAATGGAATCCAACCATTACAGCAGGGTGGTCCAAGTCCAGTCCTGGAGGACCAGTGTGTCTGCAGATCTTCATGCCAACTCGGCTCTAAATGACCTAAATAACCTCTTTGTTGGCTTGATTGGGCCAATTTACCAGCTCTTCAGGTGTCACGGATTTAAACAGACCTAGAAAACCCACAGACACATCAGTCTCCAGGAGCTGAGCTGGACCACCCTGACAAAGTGCCTCACTTCAGGCGAAAGAGAAGGTAGTACGAAGCTGCTTCCATCACTTTGACCGTTCGGGAGCCCCCACTGCTGCACAGACTGGACACAGCCCGGGGTCTGCTGGCCCCATACCAGTGAGGGTGGTCCTGGTGGTGCTTTGCCGGCCCCTGGGCACGGTGATCTCCACGTGCTCTCCGCCGGAGATGGGGGCGTACTTGATCCGGTAGCTGTTCACGTTGGCCTTGCTGTTCCTCCACTCCAGGGTGATGCTGTTGTCAGTCTGGGAAATGGCCTGCAGATTTTTGGGGGCATCCAGATCTGGCGCACAGAAAAAGGGGGGGTTCAAAAATGAGCTCTACGCCTGACAAAGAGCATGATCGTTCACTTTTACACCTGCATCGATCTACAAAGAAAACACTGGTAATTATAGGAAATCGAATTTCTCATACTTTCTAGGAATATCCTTGCTGAAATATCTGGACTAAACCAACTGCTAAAGACACACAAAAGGAACCAGTCAGCAGCAGAAGCAATGTTGCTACCCACTGTGACAAAGAAATGAGAAACGCTGCGTCCTCAAATCTAGATGTCAAGCATTATAGAGAGCAATTTGAACGAGCTGGACCGTGATAAAAGACCTCTTGTCAATTTATATTGCTGGTCTGACTGCCAACTAGAAGGAAACGCCTACAATGCACATTCATCAGGTCGCTCGCAGATTTCATTACCAAAATGATACAAAGTGCATTTCAGTGTGCCTAAAGAACAGGGAAGGCAGAAAAATCCAGTTCTGGGTGACCTTCAGTGACCTGCTTACTTTTTTGTTCCCTTAAGAAAGGAGCATTTCTCACAGGGTCTCAACACAGTCCAGCTACTGCGCTTTGAGTCCAGCCAGTTTTTCAATCATCGACTTTTCAACTCAAACCCTTTCCAAAGGCATAACGAGTTTCTGATCGTTGGCCGGCTCTTGCTACTGTGTCTTGATGGAGACTCGGCCCAGTGGCGCTGCCTCACCCGTGGTGAACGTCTCCGAGACCGGGTCGCTCCGCATGTCTCCGCGCCGGGACACCAGCGACACCTCGTACTCCGTGTCCGGTTTCAGGTTGCCCACGTTGTACTGGGAGTCCGCGGAGGAGAGCTCCACGGTGGTTCTGTCCGAGAGCTGCGAGCCGGGCCCATAGGACAGGGTGACACCGTCCACCTGAGCCACCGGCTTGAACCAGGTGATGAAGGCCGTGGAGTCGGTCACATCGCGCACCTCCACCTGGCTCGGGGCGTCGATCTCTGCGAGGCAGAATAAACCAGGGGAGCTGAGAGGGTGCGCCCACAGAACCAGCGAGGTGGCCCTCCTACAGTTCCCCCTGAACTCATCTGAAACCCTGAAGCAGTTCCCCATTCCTCACTCCTGCTGCTGGGCTGCTGGCGCAGAGTGTCAGCCAGGAGGAGGCTGCTCTTCACTGGGGATAAAGTTGGTCCCCTCCTACATACGGGAACACCACGGAAATAAAATGATGCAACTATGAAATCACACACCGCAGCATCAGAACAATTTCAGACTTCACGGTGGATGGAGTTAAATCCAGGGCCACTCAGGCTGCAGCCTGTCTGATCCACTTCATTGCTAAATTTTAAGTCAACCACCTCCTTAATTGTTTAATTGACAACCAGAAGGATTAGTTAAACAATTAAAGAGCATACTGAGGACATCCTAGTTTAAACAAAATGAATACTGCCGAGGCATTACAGATAGACCACAGGAGCATTAGGCTACATTATGGAGGTCACACATGTATGGAGGATGCACAAGCTAAATGAATCACAGGGCAGGGAACACATGCCACCTTCAGTGCAAGACAGATAAACTTGCTGTGCTGTCCTCATTTGAAGTTCAGGTCCACTGCGTATTTTTAGGTGGTAATGGTTGTCATTCCCCTACAGACCCTCTGAAGTTTCTACTGATTTCCTCAGTACTCACTGCAGTATACACGTCAAAGAGGGAGGTTGTAAAACAGAAACAAAGTGATGAATGGAAGGCTAGAGGCTGGGGGAAGTGGTCTCCATTATCTGGAAATGCCAGACCCATATTAACATGTGATGAGGGATGTCTTCCCGCCCTTTGTGGAGCTGCTGCACTGCTGCGTGAGCACTAGCTCAGTGGGAGCACTGAGAAGTGACAGCGGATGTCAAAGACACGCACACATCTTCAGTAACCTCTCTGAATGTTTGCCGTCTCACTTGCTACGTGTGTTGAGTCATCACTTTGTAAATCAATGCCTTCGTTTATGATTTCATCTAACAGGGGAGTGTTTGAGGCATATACATTTTGTGTATAATTCAGTATGTGTCCCAAGTATACGAGGCAACCCTGGCCATCATATCAAGCAATAAAAGTTGGAGTGGGAAGTGGCAGGGTCTGGAGAAGGGGGGGGATATTCCCGTCGGAGTGGGAGGGGGAGTCTCTTACTAGTGACAACATTCTTGGAGGCTCCGGGGCCGCGGGTGCCGTTCTTCACGATGTGGAGAGTGACCTCATACTCCTGCCCCGGCCCCAGACCGGACTGTGTGTAGCTCGTCTCCGGTCTCGTCAGGGTGTTGGAAATCCCGCCGTTCTCTTCCTTCTGCAAAATGTCAAAAGGGCAGTGTCTACAGTCAACGGCTTCACTGGTGTTGGACTTGCTCCTCTGCAAAGGCTAGACAGGGGCAATTCCACCACAGCATATGATGGTTAAATGATGACCCTTGTTATAAACATCCCACTGAAAACCATGGGGACACATCAGTGGAGGATAATAGAGGTCAGAACAAATAGCTTCTGGAAAACAGCAGTTAGATAATGATAATGAGACATAAGTCAGAGGAAAATCATTTAAAAATCATTTAAAATTCCAAAGTCTGACTGGAACAGGACCTGACATATTTTGGAAATGCTCAGCAGTGGTTTTGAAATAAAAAAGCTGGCATTAAACATGCTGTAAAATGGAATGGCCACCGAACTGTGACGCCCTTCCAATTTCCCTTGCATATATAAAAAAAACAGTCTGGCAACGATGGATAGTGCAAGGTGCAAAAGGCTCTTTCATTCATGCGCGAATAATGCAGATCTTTGGAATTTATTCAGGAGCCATAAACCGAGTTTAGAGTAGAAGAGAGTCTAACACCAATAAAAGCTGGTATGCAAGTCCTGGCTCATGGCTCTTCTCTTTGTTTATTTAACTGCTCCCAAAGTTTCCCTTAATGAAAGCCCTGCAAAAACAATAAGGAGGCTCCAGATTTTATGGACATCAGGATCATCGCCAGGAGTTACTCGGTAGTTGATGTTAGGAAGCTCTGTTCCATCAGGGCTTTCACAGACGCCGCACACTTGCGCAACAGCCCTCGAGGTCCGTTTCCCCAGACACGGCTGCACTCGTGGCTCCTACGGAGGGCAGGGGGAGCTCACCGTGTTTCTGAAGATGAGGTTCCAGCCATCGAAGGAGATGTCCAGGGGATCCCACTGCACCTCCACGGAGGTCTCCCGCACCGACTTGAACTTCAGTCCCTCGGGCTCTGGGAGGTCTGCAGGAGACACAGGGGAGCAACCCATGAGCCCCTGACTGTCGCCCGTGTGCGAACTGCCTGGATTACGAGCTGATCTATGCTACGATAAAGGTCAAGAAGCAGACCTCCACGCACCAAGAGAAAATGCATAAAAGCTTCAGTAACTAACAAAACAATGCTCAGAATTACACCACACCCCCTTATTCTCGCTACAAAGCCTGCAGGACAGTTTTCACCTCCTTTTTTAAACACTAAATGAATGGGTTATACAGTTTGACCTTGTTGACGTGGACATGTTACAAACGCAGGCCTGAGCCTGGAAGTGGCCCGGCTGCGTCATGACGTACGTGTGGCAACGCGGGCACTGACGGGGATGCTCCTCTTGTTGTTGAGGACGGCGTAGACGTTGACCAGGTACTCCACGCCAGGCTCCAGCTCGCGGATGGTCGCGGCACGCTTGTCTCCCGGCACACGGAAGTCCAGCTCCAGGCCTCCGGGGGAGGTGGGGATGTAGGTGATGAGGTACTCAGTCACGCTCATCTCGTTGGCCCAGGTCAAGTTGACGGTCTCAGGGGTCACCTCCGTCACGGTCAGATCCTTAGGTGGGGACACTGCCAACAGAACAGAACACCTGACTAGCGGAGAATTTCATTAAGGATATTCAGACTCACAATTCATTATCATTTATGTCCTTTTTTCCACATCTCCACCCAGACCTGTTTAAAATTTAAAACCGCAAAGAGACTCTACACCATGGAACTAAGTTTGCTAAATATTTTTCCTGATGTACTCTTATGGCAGTAATTACGAGTTTGCAAAACTATTCCTTTCAACAATCCCCAGTTTAATAACTGCACATAAGCTACAAAACTTTCCAGCCTCTAAATACAGCGAAATAGATAGTCATCCTAGAAGAGTTATGAAGATTGCTTTTGGGAAAAAAAATACGCCAGAAAAGAACAAAGACGCATTTCACCAGGGACTCCTTAATGGCAATCGAGGGTTCGGGCTCCATTTTTAAAATCCTGGTATGATTTGTCAATTATGTGTCTTTTCCCAAAAGAAAGAAGTATGAGCAGGAAAAATATGCTTTTCTCTTTCAGAAGGTAAGTCAGTTGAGAACAAACTCTCATTCATAATGACAACCTGGAGACCCCGTCTTGCAGCTGGGCATTTCACTACAGCAGGGCTCAAACCCAGAACCCGCTACGCTGGAGCCCTGATTCCTAACCTCTATTCCACTTTGCTGCCATGTCATGTCTTTCAGCAGGTCATGGGTACAAAGCTAGTTACTTCAACCTTTAACGTTCCTACATCCCAGTTTAGTGTGAATCATTTTCACCTCAGGGCTGAGTTCCTTGAAGCTGCAGAAACCCATTTTCTAGGCAGGGAAAATGACTCTGAAGCACATGTGGGCTGCAGTTATCATGACTGTGCCCAAAGTCCAGCTAATTAAAGAGCCTGGGTGCCTACTGCATCATTAGTGTACACAAGAACTCAATTATGAGGTGTGCTACCATGTGCAATGTCTTCACCATTTCTCTATATGATTGCTTTCCAGAAGAGGATTTCATAACCGTCACCGCCTTGTCTTAAAAGGTCTGCCATTTCTGCTTGGTGTTTAACAAAAAAGGGCTGGGCTGGAAAAAATTCACTTAAATAAATAAAAAATGGAAACAGTAATAAACATACAAACAACATGAAAAAAGACTGTTTTAAACTCTGTTTATAAGTAGAGCAGTTGTCGATTTGATCCGGAAATTCATTTTTTAATTCGGGTATAGAAAGATTTTCAAATTGGGAGTAAAATAACATTAACATTCTTGAGTGCAAAATTCAAGTATCGTTTTACTGGTAACTAACATTACAACAGGATACCCTGCTACGCTGCTGTGAACTAACACTTCAAAAGGCAAAAATTTGGGCCACATTATTCGCTGATTTCGACATTTAAGTCCTTTTTAAAAACCTGGGTAAATCAAGGTTTAAAAACTTAAAACCCAAGTGATTGAGACGGATGGAAGAGCTGAGGGAAAGTTATTCCAATACCCAGCAAACAAGCCCCACTTCTAAGATACAGCACGACTGACCCTTCCCGCCTCAAGCGTATTGTTGTTACGGCACAGAAAGGCTGTTTCAGGTGCCTGGCAGAACGAAACGTTTCTTCCTTGGAAAGAAGACAGGAAGGCCCAAGAGGACCGTCTCTGCCTTTGAGCTCAAGCTGGATAAATGAGTTTTCAAGAAGTCTTCAAAGCAAAAGAAAAAAATGACAACGTGGACATCTTAATTTTGGAAGTGCAGTGCCACTGATGTGAAGTGGAAAAACTGTGTCATTTTAAAATACCTTCAACTGAAGAGGTGATTCATTTACAATGCCATAACAGCACGACCCACAGCTGGAGTCCAATTTTTCTACCAACGGTATCTGCATGAGGAACTGTGTCTTTAAGGAATATTGAGAAGCTGACCTTCAGAGCAGTCTTCGCCGATGTAGCCCTCGTCGCAGACGCACTGCCCGTTGACACAGCGCCCCCTGTCGTTGCAGTTATTGGGGCACCCCAGCTCGCCACAGTCTTCACCCACGAAGCCCTCGTCACAGACGCACTGCCCGTTGACACAGCGCCCCCTGTCGTTGCAGTTATCGG